CAAGTATCAGTGTCATCTATTAGAGGGATTTAAATCTCGTGGCAATAAGTCACACTTGCCATAATTCTTTATTTGCAAAAGGTTTTTGTGTAAATTCTCATTGAGTGACCTTGATGAGTCCTTACTCCAAAATTATATAATGGGAATAATTTTGCCAAAACCTCGAATTGTTTATAACACTAAGAATTTTCCTGTCGTGTTTATAAGACAGTGGGAAAATTTCAAATATAAGAACTAGACAACAGCTGTGGGCTTATTTTTAAATAACATTTATTTAGTCACTATTTTTTTTCAAAATGGGTACGAGAAAAGTATTCCAAGTAGATGGCCATCCTTTGCCTCCGGCCTGACCACAAACTCTGTAAATGTGAAGAAGCAAAAGAACCACTAGATGGAGCAGGAACAAAAGACATCTATTTGTAGTTCAGAGAACAATGGTAGTCTTCAAAAGAACTCAAAAGATCACCTTCTGAGTAAAAAAAAAAAAAAAAAAAGGAAGCTTAGTGAAGCTAGCGGAATTACATGAAGAACTTTAAAATCAGAACTAGAACTTCAGTTATTTACTCTGTGTTCTTTCCACGAAGCCATGCTGACTGGGGAAAATTCGTTTACCTTAGTGAGAACATTACCAGCAATATTCAGGCTGGGTATTAGCCCAGTAATTTGCCTTTATAATGCAAGCCCCTGGTTTACTCTCAACTGCCCCCAGAATAACTGCCTTAAGGACGTGAAGGTACTGATTTGGGATTAATCTATACATAGGCCTAGAGTTACGTTTGGGAGAAGAGCAGACAGAACGGCCTGTGGGTTGTATTGAGTGGGCCATCAGCTCAATTTCTTTTCTGAAAAGAAACCAGACCCAATTCTTTGGGGGATGGGGTTTGGGTATATATTTCCTTGCAAACTTGTCACACACACACACACACACACACGCACGCGCACAGGGATTAATCTATACATAGGCCTAGAGTTACGTTTGGGAGAAGAGCAGACAGAACGGCCTGTGGGTTGTATTGAGTGGGCCATCAGCTCAATTTCTTTTCTGAAAAGAAACCAGACCCAATTCTTTGGGGGATGGGGTTTGGGTATATATTTCCTTGCAAACTTGTCACACACACACACACACACACACGCACGCGCACATCCACCACTAGTATTTCCTTGCAAACTTGTCTCACACACACACACACACACACACACACACACACATCCACGACTGCTCTTCCACATCCGATTGAGACTGGTCAAGATCTACTTGGGGAGAGGCAAAAACCTCAACAGAATCTCCAGGGCAGGAAATACACTCATAGTGATAAAGGGCAACAAAACCAGAGAAGATTCGGACAAAAGCCACACACAGGACCCGCTGGCTGGCTACTCGGCCCTCGGCCCACTGCCCATTCATTTGGGCAGGTGCCTTCACGTGTCCTTCGGCCATGTGCACGCACCCGGCTCCAATATGCAGCTTTGGAGGTCCACAGGCCAATCACTGACGTTGAAGGGAGACAGACGCAGAAAACTGGAACCTCCCTTCCAGTGGTAATGCAGACTGAGCCTTCCACTCCCCACCTCCCCGCAGCTCCACAGCAAGCTGTGTATGTCCGAGCCCAGTCCCGGATGCAAGTCCCACAGCTCAGGGAAGTGCACCGCGCGCGGGAACCCGCTCCGTTTCTCTCCCTGTGGCCACAGCCTCGCCCTTGGCCCCCAAGGAACCCGCGGCTGACAGAGCCCAACTCTTCGCGGCGGCATTGGGCACCTCCGGAGAAGTCCCGGGCCGACCGCGGCCTCTAGGCGGGGTGCGGGGGCCGGGCGGGCAAATTCCACAGGTTCCTGGGAAGGGTGACTTGGCCAGTCGCTGACATTTTTTGTTTGTTCTAGATCGGACGGTGGACGGCGGTAGGCCGAGGCTTTTCCGCGCGCTGAAAGCCAGCGAGAAAAACAGCGAGCGGGGAGCAAAAGCACGGCGCCTACGCCATTCTCAAATAGGGTTAGAAAGAAACAGACCGTCACTCAACCCAGACCCATCCTCCGCAACCGGGCGCGCACCGGCCGCATCTCCTTATAAAGGAGCGGGCGCTGCCCGCGCGGATTGGCCGAGTCTTGCTTTACCCGACTCTCGCGAGATCCGACCTTTTTTTTTAAGTTCTATTTCCGGCAATGAGGTCAGTCGCCACCCTTACCCCACATTCCTTTAGAAGGAGCTTTGGGTCTTGTCTTCTGGAGTACTTTAAAGGTGAAAACAGATTTGTGCTCCAGAATCCCGTTTTCCATTTGCTAGAGCGCAGGCGCGGTGCTCTTGACTACATTTGAAAAAATGGAGTTCACAGAGAAACTTTTAAGGCCGGGGACGCGGAACAGTGATTAGCAACTCTGATAGTCGTTATTTGTTAGAGAACTTTACGAAAATAGGTTTTCCAGGCAGAACTGACTTAAAATAAAAAAAGGAACAACTTACCATAAATAGCTTTCTTTTTTAAGATAATGGCTGGTATAATGATATTTTACATATAACTGGCTGATCTTAATTGTTGAATTCATGTTCATTTGGGCGAACTCCATGGAGTTGCTACTGGCGCCTCAATCTAAGAGAAAAGTGAATTATTGGGGTTGAGGGGCCGGGGGGAGGTGTTCAGATGATTGTAAGGGCAGGGAAAATATAAATGGAATTTTCACATTTTATTCCCTATCCCTACAATCACCTGAGAAGGATCATCTATGACCTCGTGTTAGAGGCTGGAGTCTGTACAGAATATTCCAGGCTGTTGTTGGGTTATCTACCTGTGAGACCAGGGTTAGGATTGTGTGCCCACCTAATCTAGCAAACTACTTTGGGATCACTTTAAACTTAAATCTGTTAACCTGTTTAAATCTCAGTTGGTAAAATGGGAATAATACTTGTCCATCTTTCTAGGATGTTGAAGTTTAAATTAGATAAATATATGGTTGGCCCTGTGTTCTTTTAAGAAAAAAAACTCTTTAGAACAAGGGTCTCAAGATCTGAGTGGTTTCTTGTTTTTGGAAGGGCGTTCTTATTAAATGATATTCTTGCAATATGTTAAAATGTAACATACTGTTTTGCAAAGGCAGCTGTAAACAGGATGAGCTTGACAAGAACTCAACCATCCAACCTCAGAAAGATACATGTAATTAACCAAATGATGTATATATAAGCAATGGCTAAGCCTCCTTTTAAGGTGACAGAGCCTTTACTTGCTGCAAGTAAATAAAACTACCTTAGGACAACAATGTCCACCTCTTGAATGGAACACTCCAAAAGGTGAACCCCTTGAGTTCTGTAACACTTTAAGAATTATAAAATGATCAGTCTCTCTACAGTGCTTGTGAATCCATTTAGTGCAGCATCAGTTGTTCAAACTGCCCTCAGTTTCTATACCTTATCTAATCTAGGCTTGCTTACAATCACTAAAATGGGACACACATGCCAAGGAATGGAATGAACTTCTTCACAAACACTTGACTCGGGCCAAATGGAGTTACTTACTGCTACCTGTACATGCCCATCCTTTTTACACCTTGGAACCTTTGCCCTAACATTCCTTCTGCCAGGAATGTACTTCTGGTGAATTCACTATATCTAAATACCTACTAGAAGTGCACATGGCATCAGGGAAGGGAACAGAGATGGAAAGGGAAAGTCCTCAATCACTGTCTTCTAAGGACATATCTAGTGAGGAAGAAAGACAAGCAAACTAAACGATCAGGCTGTATAAATTAAATGGTCAATAGAAGTATAAGTAATATGTGCTGGAGGACACAATTTAGATTCCATGGAAGAAGTAGCATCTGAGCTGGATGCATAAATTCTCAAATTCTATAAGCAAAAGAGTGCCTTTAGGGACATCTTATTTGAACCTCACAATGACTGTGAAACAGGGATTAGCAACCCCACTTCATGGTTGAAGAACTCGATCTTGAAGATGTTTAAACAATTTGCTTAAGTCATGCAGCTGGTAGGTGGCAGGGCTTGGACCTAAACCCACATATGCTGTCCCTAAATTCAGAGAGAAGGGCATTCCATTATGTTTAAATTCCAGCTATCCCTCAAGTCCAGCCTCAAAGTCAAATCTACCAGATAGTCTAACTTGAGCCCTCAAGGTATTTTCCCTTCTGTGAACCCCCAGAGGATTTTATACCTCTCTTAGGATGCTAAATCACTTTCTACCTTGTTATTGTAATTAAGGTATGAATTTCACTTCTTATACTAGACTGCTGGCTTCCTTGGGACAGGATCTTTCTCCTGATTTAGCACTCATCACAGTTGTTTACATAGAACAGATACTAAATACTTTGTTATGTCAACACTGCCATCATTCTTTTGGCTACAAAGGTCATTTCAGGCCTTTCTCCTTCATACCTGTCTAAGTAGGCACAAAGTCTTGTCAGTTTTTCATAATTTCTTCTTTTTAATTCCTGTTGCCTATAATCTTGAGTATAAGACTTGACTACTTTATATCTAAACTAGTAACTTTGTCACTGAACACCAAATTTTCAGGGCCTTCCTGGTGCAGTTTATCCTCCAAAATACCACCATATTCATTCATCTTAATTTTCTTATAGCTCCTGCTTTTAAATCTTTAATTGTTCCTCTTTGTCAATAGGACATTTAACACAAACACTTCCATCCTCTGGCCTTAATTGACCTCCCTACTTATTGCTCTTAGTCTACTCCACATGAGCTCTTCATTTTAAGAAAACCATTCTATTGAACATGCATTGAATACACTTAGTTCATTTTCATCTCTAGCCCCTTGTTCATTTCTATTACGCTTTTCTGGATATCTGCCCTTTTCCTGCTCCTCCTACCCATCCTAATGGCACCCCATCCATAATGGCATACCTCTGCTATGAAATGTTTCCTCATAGTAACTTTCTTTCCTTAAATGTCATCAAACTTAAATATGTATCACTCATTTGGCACATTTTATGTTGCACCACAAATTGCTCTCTCTCCAAGGAAAATGTAAGATCTGCAAAGTCAATAATGTTTCCTCTAGCATTTAATTTGGTCCTACTCAATAAACATCTGTCTGACTGATCACCATTATTTTACCCCATTATAGAAATGCAACGGGACATGGACATTACAATAATTGTCCAATAATTGAAACATTTTGTTCTCCCAGAAACATAATATCCAAAGTTTTCTGTCCCACATACTCAAAACATTTTTTTTCTAACCATTTTATCTGTATTCAGAAGCATCTTTGGTGTACTATGTTGGGTCCAACTTCTTTAAATTCTGCAGCAGTGATCCACATGTCCTGAAAGGCAGACAGGGATGCAAGGATAGACCCTCCCATCCACACCGATATTTTCCTTTCTGGGGGAGCTATCACTTGCACAGAGGTATTGGCAGGCACCACCTTTGCTATATCTTTAACTAGCCGCTTTTCTAAACCTGGGAACAAGGTTGATCCCCCAGCAAGGACAATATTTGAGAAAAAGGAATTCCTCAGATCCGTATCACACTTCATTATGCTGCTGAAGCACATCTTATCAATGCCAGGAGTCTCAAGGTTCATGAGAGATGGACTGAAGAGGGCCTCTGGACATTGAAAGAGCTGGTTATGGAGCTTGATTATCTTCCCATCGGGTAGTTGGTAAACTTTCTCTATACTAGCAGGTTTCTTGGCCCTTTCCTCTTCATAGTTCATTGCCACATAACAAGAAGTTTCCTTAATATCGACGACAATTTTTCTGTCTTCAGCACTAAGCAGCATGATGCCATGGTCTTTCAAAAGCCTCATGAGGTAGTTGGTGAGGTCAAGGCCTGCCAGATTTAACTGCTGAACACCATGAGGCAGACAGTAACCTTCAAAGATGGGCACACACTGGGTAACCCCGGCGCCTGAATTCATCACAAAGCCAGTTGTGAAGCCAGCAGCAAAGAGAGCCAGCACACCCTGGATGGACATATAGAAGGCAGGAACGCCCAGCTGCTCAAAAAACACTTCGGTGATCTGTTGTCGGTTCGCCAGTGGGTTCAGTGCTGGCTCTGTAATCAAGACTGGGCCATCACAAGGCTTTAGCTTCAGATTATGGTCATAGATATGTTTCCACGTGATCTCCGTGTCCCCCCAGGAAGTAACAAGACCACGCTCCACTGGGTAGCTGTAGGAAAAGCAATAATATAAATGACAGCTTTAATTTTTACAGTTTCGACCCTTCAAACCAGCTTAATCCTCACATTTATTACCAGTATCCTTTAATGGGAAGTGACTGCCAAAGCCTCTCAAATAAGGTAACTGCCACCAAAAGTTAGCACAGCTCCTTTCCTTTGCAATTTTTGTTACTTTTCACCCCCACTCCTTACATTCCCCACTTCTTTATTTTTATTTTATTCACCTACAGCACCTGGTCTTCCTAGGTGGTCTCCCATCCAAGTACTAACCAGGCCCAACCCTGCTTAGCTTCCGAGATCCAGCGTGTTCAGACCCCCCACTTCTTTAGAAGACCCTTTATGACTTAAAAAAATTGGGAGGGGGGAAATCTTCAATAATAGTATAGTTTTAATATCAATTAATTGAAGAAAATTACCCGTGACAAAGGTACCATAAATTAAGTAACATAGTAATCCTTAAACGTGTATTTTCTGAACGATAACTCTGTATATTTGAATACATTTATAGAGATACAGAGAGCAAGTAATATTCACTCAGATGTTTGGCACCCTCGGAGATTGTGGCCCTGCATTTGCAATAACGCAACTACGCCAGCTGGCTGGGACTTTCTTGGCTTCCTTACCCTTTCTCTCACCCTTGCGCCCCTCATTTGGGCTCTCCCACCTTCCCCTCCACTCGAGTCCTTCCTGTCACAAGTAGGAGGTACCTGATGGACAGCGAGCTTCTTCGGGGCTGTGCTTCGTCGCCCACACACAGCTCCAGCGCGCCTTCCGCGGCGTAGCTCTTGCCTTTGGCCCGGCCGATAATGTGGGGGTAGACAAACTGAGGCTCCCGGGACCCAGCCAGGCCCGCCTTGATCACTCCCGAGCCGTTGTCGATCACCACTGGTAGCTGGTGGTAGCTCATGCCACCCCTGCCTCCGGTCGCCCGGCCGCTCCCGCAGCCGCGAGCCGCGCCAGTAGGGCAGAAAGTGCGCGGCGCAGCCCCTGGCGGTCTTACAAGGCTCCAGTGATGCGCGGGGACTGACGGCTGGAACGCCGCGTCACAAAGGCCCGCGTGTGGCCCCTTGGCCTAAGGCCGGCTGCTGAGGACCGGGGGCGGGACAATGCGGGACCCATAGACTCTCGAGAGGCACAGTGCGCTCTAAAGTCCCGCCATTGAGTCTCACCCGGCCTGGATCACCTCCCGCCCCCTCCCCTGGAATCTCGGAATACCATTATCAGGAAAACCCGACTTGACTCCCCAAAGATACAAACTTGTCCCAAGTGGCTTTCGCTAATACTTAGATGAGCTATAAAAACAAATTTATTTCCCAAAGCCATTGCTTGAATTCTGATGAATAGGTGTATGTCCAGGGGCCTGCAGAAAGCTCCCGACAATGCCCTTCCAACTGGGAAAAGGTGGAGAGATTTGACAGAGGAAAGTTGTCTCAGGAAGGGAGGCACCGTCAGTGCTTTTGAAACCCTCGTTAACTTCTGAAAAAGCGAAGCGGAAAAGAATGCTAGGATTTAAAGTGGGTTTTAAATTTTATGATTGTTGCTATGTACTGGGCAATATTTTGTTGTATTTCTTTTCTGTGGTTACTAAAGAAAATGTACTCAAAACCAAAGTGGAGATTTCACTATTCGTTTATTTTAGCATCTCATCAGATTACCTCCTGGGGTAATATGGAAGCTCATTCTCATTCCCACAAAATTCTTGACTTTTAGACCTAAGGATGTGTCTGCCTCTTTGCAGGAAAAGTGATATTCCTTAAGTCTTATGAAGTTAAGACTTAGAAAAATTTAACTACCTTGCCTGCCAAAAAAGTGCATTTTGGAATGTAATATTTTCAGCCCCTCAATTTTGTGCATCTTGTAGAAGATTTTAAAATAAGTACATAAATTAGAACCTCTGGTTAGTCTACAGAAGCTGGGGAGGAAATTCAAAAGCTATTTACACGTCCCTCCACCAGGGGCTGGAAGAGTCACTTTCTCGCTAACTAAATCACAGCGCTGAGGTTTGGTGCTGCTCGTCCGTAAAGGAGCAGGAACACCGGGGACCGCGAGTGGCCAGCCCTTCCAGGGCCTCTGAAGCCCGGGAACTCGCTTGAGACTCAGCAGCACGATGCGGGTAAAAGATACCTAATCAAACACTTCTTTCTTATTGAAGAAAGTATTCTCAAAGGAAGGACAACTACTGGATGCCTGGTTTCTACAGCAGTACCTAAGGGGCTTTGGGAAAAAGCGCACACAAATTTCAACTTTTGAAATAGTAGTACCGTTCAATTGAACATGTGGTTACTCTCCTTCATCTGGCTTTTTCTTCTCCCCGTTAAAAATTACATTAACGTTAAAAAAAAAAGAAAAGATGTGAATTGCGTATTACAACATATATATCTATGAATCTGTCGAGAGCACTCGACAGCTAGGTTTCCGTAGTGTAGTGGTTATCACGTTCGCCTAACACGCGAAAGGTCCCCGGTTCGAAACCGGGCGGAAACAGGTTGGTTTTGTTTTGTTTTTGTTTTTAATGCCTAGCTCCCCCAAATCCTGAAAAAATTCTGGCTTTTTAAAAGAAAATCTTTATAACGACTTGCAGACCCTTGCGAAATTAAACTTTAAGTTTGGGTGTTATCTACGTAACCTTCAAAATAACTTACAGAACCTTGGGAAATTGAAGTAAGTTTGAGTGTTATTCATCCACCAAATGTTTTTATTGACGACTTGCCATGTGCAAGAAGTGATCGACTTAAATTTTTTTTTTATTTCATACAGAAATAAGTTATAAAAGGAGCAAACAGAATCTGGTTGGGAAAAAATCTCAGGAGAAAAGAAATGAATAAATTCAAGTTGAGACTGTGCTTTAAAAAAAGTAAATTTGGTCCTGACACAACTTTCAACAATAAAAAATGTTGATGTTTTGGTTTTCTGAGATGTGTCCGCGCGCAGTAGGGAAGAATCCACCCTAACATAATATGACTTAACTTATTGTTCCTGAGCCTTTTGTATATTACGCAAACTGGCATCCCTTTCCTTCAACGTACAAAATCTGAATTCGATATAAATAATTGTATTTTTAGCTGACTCTGAACCTTTTCTGGTATAACGCCCACTTTTCTCCAATGTTGCGCATGCCCAGTGTGTCCTACAACTTTGCCGCGCTTTGGTGCATCAGACTTCTGTCACCAGGTAAGGGTATCCTGGAAACTGGGTTATAGTTGGCTGATGCAAACAAAACTCAGAGAGTCCCAAGGGCTTTCGGGCACGTTAACTGAAAAGCATGATCAGTCTCAACTCAAAAATTCCCCACGGCCTAGTGCCCTAGTACACAAAGCAGCTGTTCCCACTCTTGGGGCCCCGAGGAAGGGGAGGATGCTGGGAAAAGACAAGCAACTACAAGCCCCAGCATGCGGTGCACAATTTGGCTCTAGCAAAGAGGCCTCTAGCAAAGAGGTGCAGCTTTTCCCGGCCTCGCCCCAGAATGCGGGCCGAGCGCGAGACGCCGACTGTCGGGCGGCCAGAAAAAAAAGGACACTGTGCGAGCCCTCGGGTCTCGCATCTTTGACGCTCGCTTTTTCAGGGGGGCCCTGGCATGCTGGCAAGCGTAGTCTCTGTGAGCCAGTCGGTTGAGCCCATGCCGGTGTTGGACCTCCACGGTCCTAGAGCTTCCTGTGTTGCCACGGGACGCCCGGAGGCGGATATGACGTCTCTGTGGAGGAAGAGGGGAGAGGCGGAGCGTGGCGTGGTGACGTCCTCCGAAGATGGCGGAGAGAGAGTGAAGAAATTGTGCTCTCTGTTGGGTTGGTATAGGTGAGTTCTGTCTTCACCCCCAGCCCGCTATCCCCGCTCTCTCCAGACCCTGGGCCATTGTGAGGCATGCCCCTCGGAATTCGCTCTCAGGTCGGGGTGAAGGTGTTAACATGGAAAGCCTGGGCGCGGCAGCCCCCGTCGTTGGCCTTGGGCACAACCTCTGTTGTGGGAATTCCGGGCAGTGGGAGCTGGGCGAAGGGCAGGGTGGCGGAAGCCAGGAGAGACCGGCTTTGGTCATCACTTTCTGATGCCACCTCGAGTGGAGAAGTGGGATGTGAGGGGGTGTGGCCTCTTCGGGGCGAGGGATGGAACCTTTGACACCTTTGGCCCCGTTCATTCGCCGCCTCCTGGACACGCGCCTCGCGTTTTGAAGCAACTGCACCGCGGAAGCTAACAGGTTTCGGTGATTTTGGAGCAGTTTTAAAAAGCTCGTACCGTGTCTTATCCCCATCTGTCCTAAAGAATAATTTCTCAATGGCTAATATTTTAACATATGTATGCCTACCGAGCTTGAAAGTCTGAAGGTTCAACTGGTGCAAAGGCGTGAATTCTTGCGGTGCTTTTTTTCAGTTTATGGAACTGCTTTCACTCATCGCAATTTCTTGACGTTCCCAAAAGATTGTCCTAATTGCCCTAAATGAAACAAAGATAGACACTTTTCCCTTCAGAATTTTTAAACATATCCTTTTGATAAAAATTTGGGAGGAGGGGCGATAAAATAAGAACCGACTTTGTTCTTGTTTATGTGATGTCCTGTGTCCTTTCTCCCTTTACCAATTGCTTGGGTGAAAACTTAGAATTGCTGACCTATTTTTGTTTGTTTGTTTTTAGAACAAGGGTAAAATTCCATTCCGATATCAAAATGCAGTATTCGCATCACTGTGAGCACCTTTTAGAGAGACTGAACAAACAACGGGAAGCAGGTTTTCTCTGTGACTGCACCATAGTGATTGGTGAATTCCAGTTTAAAGCTCATAGGAATGTGCTTGCTTCGTTTAGTGAGTATTTTGGTGCGATCTACAGAAGCACTTCTGAGAACAATGTCTTTCTTGATCAGAGTCAGGTGAAGGCTGATGGATTTAAGAAACTGTTGGAGTTTATATACACAGGAACTTTAAATCTTGACAGGTAAAGTACTTATTTTATTTACACTTATAAAAAGCTAATCAGTAGTCTTTGGAGCAAGAGTAGACTTACATTTTTTGCATTCAGCCCCTTTTGAACTTGGAGTCTTGAAGTGCACAATATTGTTTTCTGGGTTTTTTTTGTTTGTTTAAAGAAATCAGTATCACTGATTTGGGATAAGCAGACTACATTTTTAAGTATAAAAAGCACAGATTATATTAAAGCCTTCTTTCTGACACATTTGATTTACCTACTGAAACAAAGCCTGTGATTTCAGTTATGTAACAATGAATTTTAAGTGAATTTCCGTTTCCCCTTGCTTTTTGGTCTTTATGTTCCTCTGGTCTTCTCTGTCTCTCACTTTCTACCCACTTTTTAAGGTGTTTGGGGTGAGAGAGTGTTCATGGAAAAAGAAGAACCTCTGTGTTCATTTAATAGTGCTCCCATTTCCAACTGTAAGTAGAAATGTTCAGGACTTCTTCCTGATTATGATTCAGGAAAATAATGTCATTGGAGTGTAAATGGCAATGACTCCTGATATCTCTGTAAAGATATCAATATTAATGCTTAAGTCAGCTCCAAGGTGCTAGAATGTTTTTTCTCAGATGCTTACTGCTGTCACTGCATGAATAAGAAATAGATTGTGAGGAATTTGATAATGCAGGCACTGTGTCTCATACATAATGAACTATATAAGTGAGTTAATACCAATGCATTTATTGTTTTTTGGGGAAAAGGTGGAGCACATAAAAGGAAAGCGAATCCAGTCAAATTACTCTTATTTTCTTTCATCTCTTATGAAAGCGTGAATATGAATAGATTATAATCTTCTGACATAGAAAGATTATGGGCTTTAGAATTAAATCTTGTCTCTGTGTCTCTTTGAACGAAATGCAGCCTCTCTGGGCCTCACTTTCCGCATCTGAAAAAATGAGACAGTAATAACTCCTTTTGTGTTAGTGTGAAGATTAGAATTTTCTCAAAGGCCCATTTCCCAATGAACATTAGTTTCCTTTTTTTCCTCTACTGTCCTCCCCATTAATTCCACATTTCTTGGAAAAAAGTTAGAAAAAAACATAAAGGGAACATTTGAAATTCTGCTACCCACTGATAACCATTATTAACATTTTGATAAGTAAGTATTCTTTCATTCTTTTCCAGATTGTTTCTATAGATACATGCACATGACATTAAGCAGCATCCTTCCCTTTTGTTTTACATTGCAGCTTGTCATGGAAATATACTTCAAAAAGCTAGAATCATGACATTCCTTAATACTTTTGAAAAGAAAACATGCAGTTTTAGAATTATTTTTTAAATGGTGTAATGAAATCTTTAAATCAGTTGATTAAAAAGGAACATTAAAAAGGAACAGAGCAGTGTTATAGATTAATCTCACATGATAAATTATTGACATTTATTGAATAGTTCTTCTGATTAAAAATTCAGAATATTTAATATAAAAGCCACAAAACCAGTGAATTTTGGTTGCTCTTCAATTTAATGTTTTCCCTTTCTCAATTATCTTTGTTGGGAAAACCTTGAGTTGATCTGAACACACTGAAGAGCATCTTTGAGCTTTCATGCAAAGAACCAATGTGAAGAAGAGCCAGATGTTTTGCTCAGTCTTTTTTGAACATATCTTTCCTGGGAGCCAATTGTTTGAGTCCAGCGGCAAATGTAAGAGAAGACTTACACCAAAATAGAAAGTCTGTGTAATTTAGTGATTACAGAGACAGAATAATAGAGAATTAAGTGGACTTTTAGTCCCAACACTATGATCTTGGAAAAGTTACTTAATTTCTTTGGACCTCTGATTTTTCATTTGTATATAAAATGGGGATTATATTAGATATTATAGGCATGTCCTAAGCATTAATTGAACTACTCATAAAGCATCTAGCCATATACCTGCCGTTTGTAATTAAATGACTTTCAATGACTTTAAAAGGTGAAATCAAGTTTTCAGGCACTGTAACTTCATGCTTGTAAACAAATGCAGATCAGTTATTGGCAAACATGCTGATTGGTTTTCTTAACTGTAACTCAGATAATAGGCTATGAAACAGATAAATAATTTATGTGAATTACTGTTTTAGTACTGAACAATTAGTGTGTGACTCTGCTAGTTTATATTGGTCTTAAAGACTCCTTGAGTCTATGGCCATGCCACCCTGAACGTGCCCAGTTTTGTCTCATCTCGGAAGCTAAGCAGGGCTGGGCCTGGTTAGTACTTGGATGGGAGACCACCTAGGAATGCCAGGTGCCATAGGCATTTAAAAAAAAAAAAAAGACTTCTCGACCTTGTTATCTGATGGTCCATTTTATGGAGCACTAAGCACAATTATAATTTGAGACCTAAGTATAAAAAGTGATAATTTGGCTCTCATTCTAGTGGTCTCATTTATTGTGATTTAATAATAGATTACATAGCAAAAGCAATAAAAATGCTTAAGAAAAAACAATGTTTTTAGAGAACTACAGTTCTGTATACATTGAAAAAACATTTTATATAAAAGATGAATAAGATTATACCTTGGATGTTTATGCTATATCTTCGCAAATAGAGAATTAACTTGATTACATTCATTATGTATATATTCCAAAATTATAGCCAAGAGCCATAAGAAAATAATATCTTAAGTAATTTTTTCTTTAATCTAGGGGAACAGATTATGTTCCAAAAGTTTATTTGTAATATGTTTAGGAACTTAGGACAGTTTTTCTCAGAGAATAAAATGTTCCTTAAACTGATCATTAGGTTTCCAAACTAGCCTATAAATCTAATCTATAATCAGCTGAAAAATGATTATGTATAATGAAAGACAAATTTCTAAAAGCCATTGTAATGCTAAATTTAAAAAGAGGAAACATACAGGTGGTACTTGAGGCAAAGCAGTTTAATTAGATGATAAGAAAATGGGTAGTTATGTAGGTACTGTAGTACATATACTTTCAATGACCTGAGAGGTTCATGACACTAGTTATTTTTAATTTCATGTCAAGATTTTACTCTTTTTTAAATTTATATTACATTTATATTAGCTATGAGTAAAACCCTTCTCTGGTTCATATAGATTATAAATAGGGAAAAGATTTTTTTTGCCTAGAGAATCAAATAATAATTGGGGAAAATGGTAAGTAGGAAGGTTACTTGAGGGAGGTGTATGTGTGTGTCCTCAAATAATTAAAAGGGTCATATTTTTAGTGTTAACTACCACTCAACTCTGATTTTACAGCTGGGATAAATGAAGTACCCAAAGGTACTAACTTACCCCTTATTAATTCAGCTAGTAATGTCAGAGCCAGTGCTAGATGTAATCAAACATCTTTTCATTACACTGTAAACTTTTGGAGGACCGGGACTGTTTGATATTTCTTAATATCCCTCTTAGTACCACATATAGTAAATGCTCAGTAAATATTGTCTGGAATGTTGAACAAGGTGACAAGTTTTTCTATATAATCCTAATATGATAAACTCTCCAACTTGGGTTGATATCACACTCACAAAAAAGTGGGACAGTTGCAAGAGAGAGCTTAACACATTCTAAAACCTTGTTACTCCGAGTGTGGTGATGGACCAGCAATATTGGCATCACCAAGGAGTGTGTTAGAAATGCAGACACCGAGGCCCCACCACAGACCTACTGAATCTACATTTAACAAGATCCCTTGATGATTCACATGCATAGGAAGGTTTGAGAAGCACCGTTTAAGTTCCTCGTAGAGGGAGATAATAGGAAACAATTTTTTTAGATTCTTGTTGCCAGTCCAGAAAAGCTGATTGCTATGTTATCTGAAGAGGCCTCAGGATGAATAAGAGGAGGCAATAAGTTGCCAACAGGTACTTTGTGTTCCAGCTGTTTTTTAAAACAATTTTTTTTTTTGATAAAATTAGATACTATTTTTTTATATTAGTTTCGGGTATACAATACATTGTTTATACATTTATGTAGTTTATGACATAATCCCCCCAAGAACTCTTATCAAACCCATCTTGCTTTACATATAGCCATTACAGTACTATTGATTGTATTCCCTATGCTGTATTCTTTGTCCCCTAAAACAGGTTGAAGTTTTAACATTTCATTTTTCTGTACTGTGTAGGTAACTGTCCAGTAATTTTCATATTTTTAAGTTCTGTAAAACTAGACGTATTTGCCTAAACATTACTCTGAGTGAATAATTTCTTAGTTATGCTTTTTTCATCATTCTCCTTCATTAGATCTTTAAAAGACATTGAAATAAATTTGCAGCTCTGTTTCAGAAAGTTTTTCTTTGATCAGAATATTGTCATTTAGCCTTGTTTTCTTACAGTTGGAATGTTAAAGAAATTCATCAGGCTGCTGACTATCTCAAAGTGGAAGAGGTGGTCACTAAATGTAAAATAAAGATGGAAGATTTTGCTTTTATTGCTAATCCCTCCTCTACAGAGATATCTAGTATTACTGGAAACATTGAGTTGAATCAACAGACTTGTCTTCTTACTCTACGAGATTATAACAGTCGGGAGAAATCTGAAGTGTCTACAGATTTAGTTCAGGCAAATCCTAAACAAGGGGCTTTAGTAAAGAAGTCGTCTCAAGCTAAAAAAAAGAAGAAGGCCTTCAACTCCCAGAAAACAGGGCAGAATAAAACAGTGCAATATCCCAGTGACATTTTAGAGAATGCATCTGTTGAATTATTCCTCGATGCAAATAAGTTATCTACACCTGTAATAGACCAGGTTGCACAAAGAAATGATAATTCAGAACTTGAGTTGACATCAGTTGTGGAAAATACTTTTCCAGCACAAGATATTGTGCAAACTGTTACAGTGAAACGGAAACGTGGAAAATCACAGCCAAACTGTGCTCTGAAAGAACACTCTATGTCTAATATAGCCAGTGTCAAGAACTCTTACGAGCTAGAAAGCTCTGGGGAAGAGCTGGATCAGAGGTATTCCAAGGCCAAGCCAATGTGTAACACATGTGGAAAAGTGTTTTCAGAAGCCAGCAGCTTGAGAAGGCACATGAGAATACATAAAGGAGTCAAACCTTATGTTTGCCACTTGTGTGGAAAAGCATTTACCCAGTGTAACCAGCTGAAAACACATGTAAGAACTCATACAGGTAAGACTTGTTTGTGGGAGAAAGAAGTTTTATGCTGTGACTGAAATACTTTATGGAGAACATTAATAAACAGTACTGACTATTTGTGACCAAAATTTGACATAGAAAGTATATAAAAATTTATAAAAATATTTAGCATGTTAGACTATTGAAAATTTCTTTGTAACTGTGACCAAGTATTTAATGGCTATCTGTTTTATTGTAACTGATACTCTGAAGTCCTAATACTGAGCTCTTTATATCATTTTCCCTCATAGTGCAAATAAGCATAAATTTGGTTTCCAGTTAAGTATTTAACAGAGACAAAGATATTAAAACTGATGAAGAGAAAAAGTTATTACAACTCAGGCCAATTCTCAGATTTTGCCAACACATCTCACCACCTGCTTCCTAGAGTTTGTCAGCCTCTAAATATGTTACACGTATTCTTTCTTCAACTTCTACATTTACCTTTATTGGTACACTTAGATTATTACTTCCTAAGATGCAGTATGTATTTCTCTCATTACTCACCTTCCCTCTTATGAACTGAGAAACACTAATTTTTTTTTTTTTTTTTTTAACTCTACCTGTGTTTTCAATTAGTAATTCTGGAAGAAGAGAACTTATTTGCATTTTTACTTCTAGGAATTAACATTTTCTGAATACCAAAACCAGTACTGTGAGAACTCTTGAAATCTCATATAGCTCAGGCAACTAAAACAGAATATTTCTTTCTAATCATAAATTTTATTTGCTGCTTTTAGGTGAGAAGCCATACAAATGTGAATTATGTGATAAAGGATTTGCTCAGAAATGCCAGCTAGTCTTCCATAGTCGCATGCATCATGGTGAGGAAAAGCCCTATAAATGTGATGTATGCAATTTACAATTTGCAACTTCTAGCAATCTCAAGATTCATGCAAGGTAAAAAAAACGAGTTGTTTGATCTTTGAGTCTATCGCTGACCACAGTCTTATGAATAAACTATTAGAATTTAGGACAGTAGAATTCTATTATGGTTCCACCATACAATATATATTTTAGCACAGTCAAGGAACCACAAAGAAGTTGTGGCAGCTAGAGAGGAATATGTAAGGCAAGTAAGATGAGAGCGGTGATGAGGCGTCCAGATAGTATAAGGTTTTATAGGCCATTAGAAAGCTTTTATGCTTGAGATTAAGAAATAAGTGATGTGATCTTGTTTGCTTTTTAAGAGGATTACACTGCTATATTGGGAAAAGATTATAGGATTGCAAGAATGGAAGCAAAGTTACCAGTTAGAAAGCTCTAGATAAAACCCAAGTGAGAGTGATGTTGGTTCAGCCAGAGTGGTAGCAGTAGAAAAGATTAATAGTCAGACTCTGGACATATTTTTTTAATGTAGGACAAACAATTGGCTGCAGATTGGTGTGGGGTATAAAAGAAAGTAGAATCAAAGAGGATTTTGAAGTTTTGAGCCTGACTACCTGAAAAGTTAGAATTACCGTTGACTGAAATGGGAAAAAATTATGGATAGAGCAGTTTAAGTAAAAGTACAGGAGTTGTTGGAATAGAGTTCTGTACGTGTTAAATTTGAGATTAGACATCTGAATGAAGCTATCCAATAGACAGCTGGTTATCTTAGTCTGGAGTTGAGGGGACTATTTTGTACTGAAGATATTAATTTGGAAGTTATCAACATGTAGATGATATTTAAAACCAGAACACTGGATGATGTCACCAAGAGAACTAATGTGGATAGAAAAGAGATCAAAAGACTTGCGTCATGAAGCACTCTAAGAGTTCTGGGAAGTGGGCAAGAACCAGCAGAGGTGATTAGGAAGGAGCAGCCAGTATAAGAGAAAAACCAGAAGAGTGGGCTGCCCCGGAATCCACGTAAAGGAAATGATTCCAGAAGGGAACTATCAGCTGTGTCAAATTCTGATGATAGAGAGATGAAGACTGAGAATTGTATTTAGCAAAGTGAGAGTTCAGCACTGCTCTTGACAAAAACAGTGTTTAGCATAGGCTAGTAGAGAAGAGATTAGAGAAAGAATGAAATGGAAGAACAAGTGAGGTCAAGGGTCTTTTTTTTTTAGATGGAGATGTATCAATTATTTATATGCTACAGTCCAGTGGGGTGGGAAAAATGGATGATGTAGGATAGAGGTTATTGTAGGAGTGGTATAGAGTAGGGTAGGGGGATAGTAAATTAAGTATACAAATGGGAGTAACTGGTTTTAGATCAGCTGTCACCTTTAGAGTCTATAACAAGGAAAGTAAATGTTCAGGTACAGATGTCCTTAAATGGAGAGTTGTGGTGGTAGGAATTTTCTGATTGCTTAAATTTTTCTCAATGAAACAGGAAGCAAGGACATCAGCTAAGAGTGAGGATGGGTGGGGAGGTGCTGGAGTTTTGAGGAAAGAGTTTTGAAGAATGAGTGAATGTACAAGCAAAAATGATTGCCTGCAGTATTAGGGGCACACTTGACAACCATATAAAGATGGCAAAACTCTTTGAAATGGTCTTAGAACTAATGTTTTGATAACAACCAAAACATGTTTTTCACAGTATATGTTGAAACTTGGTTTCAAATACGTATTCTTTGTCTGTTAAGGTGAAATTAAATAAAATAGTGTATGAAAAATGTTATATAGATCTCCAAATTATTTCACTTACCAACATCTAACTTTATATTTTTTTACTAATAGGAAGCATAGTGGAGAGAAGCCATATGTCTGTGATAGGTGTGGACAGAGATTTGCCCAAGCCAGCACACTGACCTATCACGTTCGTAGGCATACTGGAGAAAAGCCTTATGTGTGTGATACTTGTGGGAAGGCATTTGCTGTCTCTAGTTCTCTTATCACTCATTCTCGAAAACACACAGGTAAGAATTTGACACGGAGAGACTGCTTAAAATAAGGAAAGCTGTAAATAAAAGAAAGGAGGAAGTCGAGAATTTACAAAAAGTAGATTACAGCCTTTGTAGTTTTGTGTTTGTGCTTTTTGAAGCTTTTTATGATTTTCAGATAAATATTAGATATAAAAACATGTAGAATAATACATGGTGACTTTTTTAATCATATAATATATACACTAAAATCAGATAATTTTGACAATATATAAACTTGAGACATAGTTTATCACCTTAGAAAAACTTAGCCTCTTGAAGTTTCATTTCCCTTCGGTAAAACTGTAGAGTAAAATTAAGGGGTGGGGGTCGATTTGGGTAGAACATTGATTTTATAACTTTGTAGGACTTTTCATACAGATATTCTAAGATTTGCAAATTAAACAGATATTTCAAATGCAAATGATCAGTTTTGAAACATTCTCTTGTTTATAAAGATTTTCATTTTTGTAGGGTACATTTTTAATAGATCTTTTCTAAATGATTTTATTCCTCTTTAATAATATAGTGGGTATCAAGAATTGAAATATGGATTCATGAATTTACATGTGTTTAATCATAAAAATCAACTTCTTGCCCAACTTGAATTCATTATAAGGACATTTGAAGAAATAAAGGTTTATTATATGAAAAGCATCAGGTTACATGAACAGTGTAAAATGATTACTATTCATTTAAGTTGGTCACACTGAAAATACCTCTAAAATATAATGTAAAGAGGTTTTAATTTAAGTAATATTTTAGAACAGCTTACTTTAGGTTATTGTAATTGATAAATATTATATTGGTATAGTACACCACTTCGCTATCTTTTATTTTCCATCTAGGTGAAAAACCATACATATGTGGTATTTGTGGGAAAAGTTTTATTTCCTCAGGAGAGCTCAACAAACACTTTCGATCCCATACAGGTCTGTGTTTAGGGAGAACGTATTATTTTTTGTTCTCTCTAATTTCTTTTTATGTAAACCTTGATTTTTAAACCATTATGGGCTATATGGTATCTAGTCATACATACTCTATCTAGCAATATTTTAAAGTATAAATATCAACTTTTTATTTGCTTCTTTCATTTTTTTAGTTGTTTGGAATATGAATTAAATTTGGTCAAGAATTATATGTATTTTATACGAAATATTCCAGATAATAGTTTCTTAAATGATTTGGATTAAATTGCACAGATATATGAAGAAATGAAAAGGAATAGAAAATAAGAAAATCACATTTCCTTATTAAAACAGTGTTCAATATGCAAATTTTAGGAATAAATTTTAATATTGGCAAGTTTATTATAAAAGATAGTATATAAGTAGTATGAAGAAATTATTAAATGTAAAAAAAACTTAAAGGAAAATGCCACTTTGAAAATGTGCTGTTGTGACTTTTTCTTTTTAAAAATTAATCCTCGTAATTCCTATCTAGAATAGTGTGAGCACCTAGGAGACACTTAAGAAATTTATTGGCAACTTCTGTTTTCTCATACTCTTTAGTTTGCATGATAAAGCATCAAACAGTTCTTATCTCAAAAGAATTATAATTTCGTAGCATTTTATTGTCAGTATTTTTTAAGAATTTTCTAATTTGTAAGCTACCTGAGAGCAGAAACCATAATTATCCTTTTTTTTCCCCACCTAGCTATATCTCTTAGCCAGGGCCTGACATATAATTGGCACTCACTAAATGTCTGATAGAAATAAAGGAATAAGTTATTTTTTTTAGTTTAAAATATTTATGTTAATGAAAAATACTCAATTTTCCCTGAAATGGGGTTGCTTTATATAAAAGAGTGCCTGCATGTATAATAGTTTTCATTTCACTGTATTAGAACCAAGTAATTACAGTGGTAATTTGAAACAATATTTAAACAGTATAGTAATGTTTTCATTGTGTTCGTAAGCATTGATATTTTTGTCTTGGCTTTTAAAATATTGAGGTTTTAAACTTTTAAACTTGTTTTTCAGGAGAAAGACCATTTATCTGCGAATTATGTGGAAATTCTTACACAGATATTAAAAATTTAAAGAAGCACAAAACAAAAGTCCATTCTGGTAAATGCTTATGTTTCTTAAAAAATTTAGTACTCTCCTTAGTTGTGCTATTTCTTAAAATGTTGAGTTGTACATTATAGCAGTTTAAATTAGATTTTTTGAAAAACTAGATATTCACATATGAGGATGATAGCTGTATAATTTTCACATGAGTTCACTCTGAATTTCTTTTCAAATTGACTTAATAAATAGTACTGAAAATGTTTTCTCCTTTAAAAATCTGATTTATGAACAATTTCAAAAATGGACTATATAAGCAAATTATATATCGTTATTCCCCATACTAGAGTCTAGGTTGCCTAGAGTTTAACTGTAGTTATACGAAGAAAGGGGCATCATGAACACTAATCCAGAAATATATAAGAGGAAATGGGGAAACAGGTGGCCCCAAGTTGTTTTAATATATAAAAATAGAAATAGTCTTTTGCTTAAAATGAATCCTCAAAAAAGTTTCACTGTGCTTATCATTTTCTTCTGTCATGATTAGAAACAAAATACAAGGCTGCTTCAGTGTGTAGAGATGATAGTCTTAATAGTAAACAAACATAAGGATTTAGTAACGTTCGAAAACTGCATTAAATCATTGATTCAACAAACATTTAATACCTCTAAAGTACACATACTGCAGGGTAATAAAGTTGAACAAAGCATTGTCCTAATTCTCAAAGAATTTACAATCTGGTGTGGGAGGCTAGAAATCTAAATAAATAACTATGATTACAAGACAAAATATAGGCTAAATAGAGACACAGGCTTAATCCTAGGGAACTTGCAGGACAGAGAAGAAGAGTTCAGAGCGCGGAGATGAGAAAGGAAGTGTTCATTCCAGGCAGAAAGAACATAGCTGAAGAGAGTCACTGGGACTAGAAAGCACAGTTTATTTTCTTGGCTGGTTGAACTGAAGAGTAGTCTGCAAGACTAGAATTTTTTGAAAGCAAATATGCAGTTTTGTCTGATGAGGATAGTGAGATTGTGAAATCATCTCACTACTTTGGAGTGTCAGGAACATGGTAAAGCTAGTGGAAAATCTGAAGGCAAAATGTATGGTAATTATTCCCTTGAGTAGAATAGAATTCCTCACCTCTAAAAATATATGAAGGGGCCATACCTCTGAACTTGAGCTTACAGAATAGTATGAACAACTCATTAATACAGTCAATGAACAAATAGGTAATTTATTAAGCATAGCATTATTAAGTACTTTGAAGAAATTAGAGAAGAATAACTTGATATTTACTCAAGGAATTTACAGAGTATTCAAGGCATACCTGAATTAAGTGTTAAAGAACAATAAGAGAGATGTCACAAGGCAGTATATGAGATTGACAAATGAGTGATAAAATACATAAGAAACAGCTCAGTCTGGTCTAGAATCAATAAGTCCCTTTTTTTTTACTGGATTTGGTGCTCGAACCTAGTCTTGAGGCCCATGTTGGATTTGTATAGATAATGAGGGCAAATCATCAAAAGAGAAACAGCGTGGATAAAGATATGGTGGTTGGAATGCAAGTTCTGGGAATGGTAAGATTCTACCTCAACATTCTTGTTTTGTTTTTAAGGATAGTATACATTTTTTCCACTTTTATTTCAGGGGCAGATAAAATTCTAGATTCTAGTATAGAGGATCATCCCTTGAGTGAACAAGATTCTATACAAAAAAGCCCTTTATCAGAAACTTTGGATGTGAAGCCTTCTGATATGACTTTACCACTAGCTCTTCCACTTGGGACTGAGGACCAGCACATGCTTCTGCCTGTCACAGATAATCAATCTCCTACATCAGATACATTGTTGAGGTCAACTGTAAATGGGTATTCAGAACCACAGTTGATTTTTTTACAACAATTATACTGACTTTGTGAGGAATATGGAATTGCTAAGACTTCTCTGGTAGTAAACATAAACATCTCTGGTAAGGTGCATATGTTCATCTTAAATTACCATTCGAGTCGTGACTGTTATTTTTCGTTCACTGAAGTAAAAGCACTTGATGGTGCATTATAACTGTGCAATGCCTGTTTTGATTTTTGGCTTTTATATAGATGATACAGCTTTTTATGGAATGGATTATACGATACTAGCACTATTTTGGGTGGTTAAGTTTCATTTTCTTTTAGAGCTGCCTTAATTCCATTTTTATTTTGCATTTTAGAATTGCCTTTCATTTATTGAAGTGGAGTCTGTCAGTTTATATGATTCAGTTTTGACATGTGAAATTTAAAATTTTGCTTCCCCTCAAAATTTAAGCAAAATCCATGATGGTATCAGCTCAGGAGTGTTGCTGTTACTAGGTTTCATAGACTAATACTATGAGGGAAAAAATAAAATTTCATATATCTGCCTAAGAAAATTCAGGTACTGAATAAGAATTGTGTTATTTCTCTATTAGTATATTCCATTGGAGGTAACTTTTCTATGAAATAAAAAGAAGTATTTCTCTTAAAAGCTAAAAAACTATAAATTTTTGTTCACTCAGTATTCTGGAGAAACCCAGTGGTCAATACTTTTGATTCAATTGATCTAAGACTACATTTTCATGACTACAGATTCATTTAAATGAATTTAAATAGTTGGTGTTTTTATTTTGTTAAAAGACAGTTTCAAAATTTGATTCAGGTTATGTTTTAATAGGTTTCTGAACCTATTAAATAGCTTACTGAAGAGGAGGAAAATATACTGAGTTTCTGAAAATTTGGTAAGCCTCTCATACTGTTATGCACTTTTTAAATATTAAATTCTAAAAAGAATTTTCTAAAAATAAAAATGCATACCATAAATCACTTGACTTCTGAATTTGATACATTACATAGATTTAAGAAATTAACTTCAATTACAAGTAAACATTTGAGTTATCAGAAAGCCAGTTTATTAAACACTTTATATTTGTGTTTTCTATAAGTTTTGAGTTTAAAATTTTTTTTAATTAAACCACATTTGGTTGTCATAGTTTCACAATAGTCCTCTTCCTTCCTTATGAACATAAAAAATTCAGTATTCTGATATTTACCAATTCTTCCCCATCGCACTATTCCCACATATATTTTACTGCCTGATCTTTGGATATTAAATTATCATTTCCACAAAGTCAGTTCCTATACTGCTGATCAAATACCATGGTGGGTGATATTATATCTTATATCTGCCATGCATTAGTTGTGGCTTATTTTTAGTTTTAAACTACACCTGTAATAAAGTTAATGTATTTTCTATTGGTATTGATTTCTTTAATTGTATTTTCTCTAGGGCTCTAGTCATAGGAACCAACTAGAGGACATAATAAAACTACTTAATTCTTGTAAATTGTAGAAATCGTCACCATTTCACAGCACACTCAGCATTTTCACAATAAATTGCCACCAGTGGAATTGACTTAATTGAATAGGGTTTGAAATATTGCCTTATAATATATTTCCATCAGTTATAATGTTTAAGAAATCTAATTATGCATGTGTATTAATATGCTGGGTTAAATACAATTTATAGAGTTATAAAATGTTCAACTAATCTATTCTGGCTTAAATTCAATAGGAATTTATTGGAATATGAAAAAATTAAAGAAAATTAAGACTCAGCCTCTATAAGAGGTCTGCTGAAATGGAGAGGTTAAATTTAATTCACATTTTCATTAATCCAAGCGTCTAATGAACAAAGTTTCTTTTTAAAAACACTATAGTAATGTCTTAATTCTGAGGGTAGTAGTTATCAAATTTTCTCTAATATGATGGTAATTAACATCTTGCCTTTGCATAGATTAGCCTTCAAATTTATTATTTTTAGTATTATTGGCGTGCCTAAGGTTGATTTACTGTGGTTTTCTTCATCACATTTCCTGCTTCTTAAGTAAAATAATTTTATTTTAAATTTGCATGGCTTGGTGCTCTTCCAGAATGACAGGTAAAGAAAGATTAAAGAGTGAATATCTTGTCTTGTGATTCTTCTTATAAAGCCATCCTGTTCTTTATCATAATATGCATATATTTTAGTTGTACCTGGTATTATTCTAACAGATGATTATCATTGTAGTTAATTCTAAATATATTTGTTACGATGCAGTGTTTTGAGACAGGTCTATTCTTATTTATGTTACTGAGTTTTTTTAAAGTGTTTAGGATGCCGAAGATCTTACTGAAAAACAAATTATTTTCTAAATTTTGTTTTATATTTGTATTAGAGTTTTCCTACTGTATTGGTGGAGATTAGACTTTTTAAAAAGAAACCTTAGATTATATATAAATAATTTTTGCTGTTTTTAAATGGTATTTATGTTTGATTTCATAGGATGATTTTGATAGACAAATTTTAGAAAATTGTTTTATTTTTTCAAAAGAAAAGGTTCTATCAGTTCTATTGCAACAGTAGTTTATCACTTTTGTCTGTATGTTTCAGTCTTACAAAAATTGTGCAAAGGAGTAGTTGAAACATACTTATATAAAGACAATGTACATGTACTCATTTTAAAAAATATCCAAGGAGAATAGTTCTAACATTTGATGCATATCAGAAACATATTTCTAGAATAATGTCATCCAAGCTCCACCCCCACCTTAGGCCTTCTGAATCAGACAATCTTTGGGACATATATATACTGGCAAAGCCCCATGGATGATTTTAATGTATACCACAGATTAAGAACTATTATCCTAAACATTTCTTAATGTTCTTCTTTTGGGAAGCATTTATAAACGAAGCTCTCAATACAACTTTACATCTTTTACTCAGAGATTTTACATCTTTAGCTAGAAATACCATCAAGTAAAAAGATTATATTCTAATGCAATTTCCATAAATTCTACATTTTTACTCATTATTTATGAACAATATTGATATTTAGTTATTGGAGCATTAATTGCTGAAAACAGTAATATGGTCTACTGTTCTCTGCAACCTCTGCCCCCATTCACTCAAGAGAGATTTGGTGTATTTAAGAAATTAGATAATTATCATACAAATATAGTAATCATCTATCCCCCACCCCTAGAAATAGAAGAAGGCTATACTAAAATAAATACCATGGAATGGAACAGATTTTGGATTAAAATTCCTGGCCCATATTTCAAATGCTATAAAGTTAGTGAAATCAGAGCACACAAAGCTACAAAGATAAATAAGGTAAACTCCACCTTTAAGTTTACAGTCAAATGGGAATATAAAACTGAACATAACTAGCAACAAAACAAGCCAGAATGTCAAGTGTTGTATAGGAAGAAAGTGGGAAAGGAAATTCTGAACAGTTGAATGGACAGAGAAGGGGCATTGCCCGCCCTGGATAGGTAAATAGGGAGATGGCTGATAGGAGCAATTTGCACACAGCTGACTGAAATAGGCAGAGTGGAGAGTAAGTATGAAATGGGGCAGGGTAGAAGTCTAAGACATGTCCAGCTCCGTATACCATCTTACTCGAAATAGCCCTCTACCCTTAGCCTATGCTGAAGGAATAGGATTAGATAGCAGATTTATAACCCATGTTTACACACAGCCAGTCACAGTTAACTGCTGAACGGCAGAAATTAGCCACATTTGTAACATGATTCCATACACAGGACCATAGAAGACTGAACCAACCTTACCTGAGAGAAAAAATTCCTAGGCCAAACCAAGCTAGTTACTTTCTCAAGAATTTGAACTATGAAATTCTGAGATTATTACATATACACATAAATGAAAAGATCATTAGAACTGATCCAGAGTCAGTGAAGTAAGCCAAAATCTAAAGGAAATTATGAATAAGCAGAGAAAGCTAATCTGTAGGGTAAAGCAAGGAGATGAAATAGGTTTAGAGAACCAAGCTGAGGCCCTGTGAGAGAGGAATGGCCTGGGTTTCTAGCTTTGCAATTCCATTCTTGAGGTAGGACAGCTATGCTTCATTTCCTTGTACCTGGATGCCAGTGATGTTTTGCCTGTTAAACCTTTCCAGTAAATCCTCTTTTTCTTAAACAGGCTTGACTCTGTTAGCCCCAACTTAGACATCTAAGTTTTGATCGCTAGTGATTGAGATGGTGATGCCATTAACTGATGAGAGAAGAGAAGGAGGAGGTTTATGGAAGGGAAAACTTTATATTGGATGTACTGAATTTGACTGATAATGAAATATTCATGTGAAAATATCTAGCAGTAATTGGAAACGGGCCTGAAACCCAGGAGAGGTTAAAACTAGAGATGCAGATTTTGCAGCATAAGGCTAATAATTTTTGTGATAGAAATGATTAAGGCAGCCCTGGGAGGTGGTACAGAAGAACAAAAGGACAGAATCTTGGGAGAAATGCATTTAAAGAATTAGCAAAAGAAAAGGAGTTGGAAAGTGATAGAAAAGACAAAGTGGTACAGGTTTCACAAGACAAACATGGTTACAGAGAAATAGGATACCAAAGACAACACTGAATTGAGTAATTGAACGTAGAAACCAGGTGGACATGGTTTGAGTAGTAGATAAGACATAATGAACACTAGTTTGAAAAGCGCAGCGTGGTACAAACATTTTATCAAATATCTAAAAAGTCTAAACCCCTTTATTTCTTGCTTTTTTGCTTTCAAATTTGAAACATTGTAAAATGAGCATATGATCTGCAGCACTATAATACAAGACTGTATTTGCACTGGATTTTAGAGAATGATTCCTAAGAGGAAAATGGAAACATGGTTGCAGATTTACTCATTACAGTTCACGTGCAAAGGAAGTAGTTTTCCTACAGAACTTACATGCCCTTCCTGTTGAGCTACCACCAGTGGGAAGTCTTGGAACATTACTGTCATTTCTGCCCTTTGTCTTCTCTCTAAAACGGTGTCCGGATATATGGAGGAGGGGGCTTATATGACATAATGGCAGCAGGGAAGTCAGGGTCTTCAGCTCTTCCATTCCCTGGACATCCTTTTGGCTTCTAATGCATTAGACAACAGCTTGTAAAATACGTGATCAGGTTTTTCCTAGCCTGTTCAGAGCCCAGTACTTGGCTGAACTGACCTCAGCTTGGTTCTCTTAGGTATAGAGAACTCTGATCCTGCAAATCTGTCTCAAGCAGTCCAGTGTAAGTCAAGTTGCAGGTTTAGTACGTGCCACCCCACTACAGGCTCGAGTTAAACCTACTTGCTTCCTGATTACCTTCTGAGTCTCCTCTTGGTCAAGAATATGGGAACTTGTGGGTCCCCTCCATACACACAGGAACAAAGTAGCCTGGAAAAGCAAACTGAATTATTAAGGTTTACTTTGATATTACCATGTTCTAGCCTGAGAGGCTATCTTTCCAGAATGCTGTAGACTCCTACTACCCAGCATATTATGGAATATTTCAGAGCAATAAAAGATGGACTACTTGTTACATAAAACAGCATAAATGAATCACTAATAAAACCTTGAGCAAAAGCAGTCATAAAACGTGATTCCATTTATATAAAATATGAAAATCATCAAAACTACTCTGGTGTTCTAGAAGTTAGGATAGTTGTCTATTGGAAGAGGGAGTAGCTTCTGGGAAGCGTGTGGCATTGACTGTCCTTGGTGTCATGGTTAACAGGTGGGTAGCTTTGTGATCATCTAGCCATTCACTTAAAATTTGTATACTTTTCTGTATGATTGCTATACTTCCATTTAAAAGAAGTATGTATGTCTACAGCCGTGCCACCCTCAACGTGCCCAATCTCGTCTGAACTCGGAAGCTAAGCAGGGTCGGGCCTGGTTAGTACTTGCATGGGAGACCACCTAGGAATACCAGGTGCTGTAGGCGTTTAAAAAAAAAAAGTATATATTTAAAACTAAAAATTTGAAGAATGAGAAAACCAGAGGATTGGTTCTTAAACTTTAATGAGATTAAAAGTGACCTGGATTATAAAAATAATCCAGGATTATTCCCCAGACTGAATATTTGATTCAGTAGATCTGACTCTTAAGAATCTGTATTTTTAACATTTGTCCCAGGTGATTCTGATCCTCCACACATAAGTGCTGATTTAGCAACTGTAGTTAAAACTCTTCACTCTGGACAAAAGTTCAAGTGTAAGAAGTTTGTCATACTGTTATTCAAGCTTGAGTTTATTGGATCTTTAATTGCTAGGTGTAGCATTTCCTCAGCTTAATGTTTCCCAAATGTAATGACAGTTTAAAATGTTTTTTTTTTCCTATAGCATTGTTTTATTGCATCTATTGAATTTTGCAGTTTTTCAAATTTGATTAAAAATTTTAATTCAGTTCCTCTTGCATTTTTAATATTACAGAGACACTGACTTTTCTGGGACATAACAGCTTTTTAGGTATTTAGTTCTAGATATAGTCAGCATGTAAGAATGTAAAAGAACTGTAAAAAAACAAGTAGTTTTTTATATCTTTGGAGGAGAGATCTTAAAATGGAAAGAAAATAAGATTTGAAATGTAGAGAAAAACATGTCCACATAAGGTTTGATAAAACCTAATAATGAAGAGTAAAATCAGTAGCTAGTGTCAGGATATATAAAGTTACTTGTAGAATTCTGTGGTCTCTACAGTTTTGTTGATTCCATTGTAAACATTTGTTGACAGCAGATCTTCAGTAAGTTTTTTGCATCAATGGAAGGTTATTCTAAAATTCCATTACCAGATTGTGACTTTAACAAATAAACAATATTTATCTTTTAAAAACCTTGAAATCCATTTCACACATTTTGTTATTAGAATGAACTATGTTTTTTTCAACCAATTCCAGATGTTTTAAGATTTTGTTTTTTTGGCACAGACTCAACCCGATAGCAACCATCTGTCTGTCCTTAATGATTCACAGTCATCTGAAAGCATGAGAATGGATTTGGTAAGGCATTTAGGTCTTTTCTGGCTCAGTGACTCTGTAACATTAAATGAAAATAATGCCTTATACAATTTATTCAAATATTCATCCCATTTTATAACCACCACCACACCCTCTTCGTCCCCCTTCCCTTCCCCTTTCCCCAGGGAGTATGGAAAGGGATTAAGTGCTGAATATAAGGAAAGACCTGTTAAACTTAAAAATAATGAAATATTGAGTAAGGAATAGTTATCTTCATTTTTTACTAAAGGAATGGGCACTGGCAGGTATTTTTTCTTAATGTTAAATTTTAAGAATAAATACAGCTATGATTTGAGGAATTCACAGTGCTTTAAATGAAGGTCAATACTTTAACAACTGTAAAGTTCACCACCACCTTTACTCTACCTCTTTTCTCAACATTTAGAAATAGATGGTATTTTAGACTGCAGAACCTTAACTTAATTTTTAAAGTACCTCTTTAAAACTGTTCACATTTTTTTTTTTCACACTTTGCCTGGCTTGAGCAGTAATAAATCATTCAGATTAAGCAGTCTTTTCTTGGTATGTGTGAATTCATAAATTTCTGATTATAGGTCTATAATCAAAAGGATCGTAGTTTCAATTGCCTCTTCATAGGAATCTTAATTTGAAAACAAGAGTGGCCACAGGTAACAGTTATTATTTGCCATCAAATCATTAAAATGTTATTGGCATCCTCCAAGAGAGAACTTTCTTTAAAAGTTCACTGGCAGCACTGACTTGTTTGGAAAGTATACTTTTATATGTATTTGTATATATGGATATTTATATATATTTTCCTGTATTTGTGAGAGTATATCAACACCCATTTGTAATACCTAAAAAAGACATACTTTTTCAACCTCTAAACCCTTTGAAATTCCCCAGGAATCTGGCACCTGAAACCTTTTTACTACTTCATGACAACTTTCAGTTAGCATACCGATAATGACCTTTCCATGTATACTATTTTACTGCTTGGCTATATTTTCTTTATAAAAATAAAATTACTTTAGTTCCTTGATTTCTTTCTCCAAAATTAAAATTTTAGCCTCTATTTTGTAAAATTTCTTTTAAAAAATACACTGGTCAGTTTTTCATAATGGACAGCGATACAATTTAATATAGTCTTTTACACATTTGACAAAAATAACTTGTTCTAATTTATGAAAGAAAACTAATAGGCAATAAAATATTCATCTCTGTGAATATAAGACAAGTACATGAAAATTATTTTAGAACTTTTTTCATAGATGTCGACCTACTTGTACAAGATTAAAACCGGCATTAGCTGAATGGTAGCAAGCTTCTCCATAAGTTGGTGTCCAGTAATAGTGTTTTTTAAGGCCATTGGAGACTTCTGCAAGATACACACGTCCATCCACCACAAATGGCTCCACATCTGTATTGTCTGGTTTTAGACAGCCCGTTTGAATTAAATCTGAATATGCCTAAGAGTTTTTAAGAAAAGAAAAAAACTATTATCATTAAAAAAGTAGTTTGTTCATTTCACAGTGCTAAAACAAATTGGCTGTGCTAATTTACAGTTTAAAATAAAATAATCTGAAAAACATTACTGAATTTATGGTTAGGTTTTTATTCATTTAATTTCACACCATGAAATTATAATCTTGTAAAACTTATTTCTAATATATTATGCACTTTTTTTTGACCTCCCGAGTTAACAATTCTCTGTATTAACCAATTTTGTGTACAGAAGTTCCCATGGTCAAAATTTTCAAGTCCCGAAGGGGTTCTTAAATGAAGTGAGAGAGCTACTGTATATGCCCTTGAAAATCTGATGATAGCCAGGATTCCATTTCTCAGAAAAGTAATCACAGATTTTGGCATACAACTGTGTGGAGTTCCTGAACCCTCTGAAGCTAACCTACAGAATTAGGCCAAGAGAGACAGTCTCCACAGTATCTGATGCTGGCCTGGCTGGCTGCCTAACTGTCTTCATTGTAGAAATTTCTTTGTATATCTCATGGATCATTGGTATGTATGTATGTTAACAATGTCATAGAAACAAACTGGTTTGTCAATAAGGATATGATTGTAGAGAAAGGCAAAAATTTAGACAGTAAAAGATTTAAAAGTATAGTTGCTTCTGCTTTAGCTTGTCATCATTAATTCTAAACTTAGCTTCTCGTGTGTGATCTTTATACTGGTAGTATTTGATATCTTTTGCTATTTCAACCACAAAACTTTCCAGAAGCTAATATTTAGAACTTACGTTAAAAGTTATCAAAACTATAGTGTTTAACTATACTTTGTAATAATTCCTAAGGCACTTGTAAATAATATAAATAATTGTAAAGAATGTCTGATGTTATAGAGAAGACTCCAGAAATTACCTTCAGTTAAAAAAAAAAAAAACTTACCACACATGTAGCCTCATCAAATTTGTTTCCCCAAATGTAGATATTAGAGAATGTGGGATTTGTTTTTAAGGATTGTGAAAGTGCAACAAGTCCTTCTCCCTCTATGTTGTTGCTGACTACTGACAACCTATGGAAAAACAAAAAGTAATAACCCTGAAAACCAATACTTTGACAAAGAGAATGCTTAAGTGAGCAACAACCTTTATTACAAACATTTATTGTGGTAAGTATTAGTGTTATTCTTAAATACGTTTAATAGTCAAAATATTGACCATGGAATTCCTAACATCCAAGAAACTTAGCTTTCTAATTGTATGCTTGATGTACCTAGTAGAGCTACCTACATTTTGGAAATCAATAGTCTGTTGTTTTATGTTATTCAGTAAATATTTGGGGGTGGGTTACAGATACTTTTCAACGTAAAGTCATCCAAGTAATATTTTCTTTGATTCATTCTTATTTTTAAGTCGACCATATTGAATGATTGATTTTTGTTAAAATTCAAGGTGAATATAAGCAATAACAATTTTCTCTTTAATCTTAAGCAATCAACGAGAATCAATTTTTAAAAGATTACTTTTAAAAAACAAGAAACTAAAATGTTTACTGTAAACTTAAAATTGTCAGTTTAGAAACAGTTTCCATATTTCATCATAAATCTTAAAAGAGTTAAGGGATTTGAGGTTAATATTCTCAAAATTTAAGTTTTTCAGTTATTTTGATTAAATATAAAACCATACTAACGCTTTAAGACTCCTGTTGTGTGAAGCAAGAGTTTCACTGAGATACTTTGCTCCTGTATTTTCTATTCTGTTAAAAGAAAGATCTATTACTTCCAGGGTAGTATTGCTTTTCAGTACATCAGCCAAAAACACCATTCCATCACGAGTTATTTCATTGCTGGGAAAGGAAAAATATGTAGTTATATTTGAAAATATGAAGTACGATTATATTCACACAGATAACATGCTTAAAAACTGTTAAGCAATAATACACAGTATTTTCTATTTTAGTGAAGATTTAATTACTCAATTTCCAAAAAAGTTAATGAAAATTTTCCATAAAACTGCTTCCATTTCTGGTTTACATAATTAAATTGCTCACTCGAGTTATTAGGAGATTAGTATCAGTATGAACTAAATAAATTCTAAGGCTTAGGATAAAAAGTTGACCACAGTGGTTCCATTTGCTAATCTTTGTAATTAGTATCTAACAAAATATCATATGTACCATGAATATTTACATAGATTATTCCTATGACTTAACTTCTGAATTACTTAATGCATAAATTATCACTTACCAGCTGACATCAAGGTAACGTAGGCTTTTGTTCAGATACAGTGCATCACATAGGTGTTTTATTCCATAATTTCTTATATCATGCTTACACATGTGTAGTTCAACAAGGCAGTGATTTTCTTTTAACATGTGGCCCAGATGAACTGTGGACTCTTCCTAAAAATAGGTAAAATCTTTTCTAAAATAAAATTTTGAAGCAGTGCATTTCAAACATATGCTAAGTTATTAAAATTAGCTTTTTAAAAAAGATTATATCAGTTAAAACTGTTAGTCTACAGTTTGCATTTGTTTGGCCTGGCTTTTAAAAAATATTTTTTGCCATAAAAATTTTACCTTTACCACAAATGATACCTTTACTGTGTTAGAAACAGGCAGCAGGCACTTATAAAATGCAGTGATTAAGTGACATACAGAGGGTAGTTAAAAAATATTAATCATTAAAAATAAATCCATCCAGAAGGAAAAAGAAAAATCAGTCCCATTATATATTGAGCTTATAAGCTCCCTGACTGCTGTCCTCTCAAGAGTCGCTAAACCCTTCTGCATACTTCATGTTCCTGAACTTTGCTCTTGATCTCCACTCTTAACTGTTTCGACAAAATACAAAGACATTTTCCAATCTCAATTATGTTTTTAAAATACACTCATTTTAACCTTATGATATATTCGATTCCTCCCTTTATAATCATCTCATTTCTAAATATATTTTACTCTTGTTTTCTGGTCACTGGAAGCCTTTTTTTTTTAATTCAAAATCTAGCTGCTTTCAAGTGAAACGTATATAATCTCAATGAGGACCTGAACACCAAGCACTTTAAATTTTTAACAAAATCAAAATATGTCTTAATGAATGGGCCAAAGTATTTTTTGGTCTTCTTGCTGATCACAAACACAGATAACTATATACGCTTTAATTACGATAAAGAACTTTGAGAAAATTTTTAATAAAAGTTTAGTAAAACCACATAGCAATAGCAGGTAGTACATAAGCTTTATAATAAAATTATCCAAATGCTAGCTTTGCCTTTTATTAGCTATCTGACTTTGGGCAAATTATTTCATCTGAGTCTCAGTTATACCTTTTCTGTGAAATAGGTGAAATACTTCCCTCACAATATTTAACAAAAAGTACCTGGCACAAAATGAATGTCCTTTGGAAAACTACAAAGCATATATTATTGTTCCATATTCTATAATCCTGTATCTGATTTAAATTACTGCTTTGACAATGAAAATATATACCCAAAGGGAAACTAATCTACGACCTTAACAAATGCAAACTGATCACTTAGGGAGTCTAGTGTTCTGCATGGTGCCTGTAACAGGGCATACTCAATACATATTTGTGTTTTATACTGATTACATTTTTAGGTCAAGAAGAAAGAGGGACCACCCTTACTAATGGAGAGAACTAGTTTCAGAAATAATAAATGGTGGGTTTTTTAAGCTCCAGAGTTTGTGCCTTAATTTGCCTAGGGTGGCATCTAGCATCGATACTTGTCCAAGCTCCCTAGAAATGAACAGTAAAACCCTGAAATGGAATAATTTTGCAGGGTCACATTTGGAAATGGCAAAGTATGAAAAAGAGGATTTTCTACTCCACAGCCATTTAAGAGGAGATAGGGAGGGGGCTGCCTTGGAGAGGAAGAGAAAGCAAGCTAGAATTTAGCTGACAGCACAGAAGCACAGGGCTGAGAGCAAGGGCCTGGGCCTCAGAAAGAACCCTGGGCTTTTTAATAACTTCTTAGATCTGAGAATAACGACAGCATTTAACATATTTAAAAGAAGAATTGTGCTGCTAATGTGATTTCATATAGTTTAACATCCTTGTTTCCTCAGAGCTTCAATCCAGAAAATTTTTGTTAGCCTTCAAATCTTCTGTCTGCAATCTAAGAGCCTTTCCAGCCACTTTAAAGTAGGGTTCTTGTATTTGAGGATTCTGGGTGTCTTGAACAGATGAGATTTATGGACATGAAGCAATTAACATAATGCAGACTTCCAAAAATGTTGGTACAGAAAAGTGCAGAGATAATTCAAAGGGAGAGATCTATGTAGGCAAAGAATGCAAACAATAAAGAATATGAAAAATATTTTTAAAATGGTTAATTCTCAATTACTCATACTAATGGGGAACTGTCAGGTAGATGATTTAAAGACTATAAAGTACTTTTAACTTTTTTTAGTAGCTATTTCTGTTTAGATCAATAACAAAATGAGTTTTTATTCCCTAGCTTTTTACAACTTAGAAGAGAGTAAAGCCACCAAAAAGAATGTTAAGGAGTAAAAAGAATCCTTAAAAGTAAAAACCATTTCAAAATGTAATGATGGTTGTCACATCAATATAACAAAAGCAACAAAACAGTTCACATCAGGTTTGTAATCTAGCCTTCAAAACTTTAATTATTTATGCTTTTACTGTAACTACTTTGCCCCTCATAGGGTTTACTCAATGAGAATTGGAATTCACGAGGGAAAAAAAAAGTTTACTGCTTAAGCAAGCAACATCTAAAATCGTATTGTTATAAAACTTATTGAGAATAATTTTCTTTTAAAAGTTTTTCTTTGTAAACAGTAGTTTACAATTCTAAAAATATAATGCATTCGTGAACTTTGACATTCAGTAATACCTTCAGTTATTCACATGTGTAATATCACTGTTGAATACATACCTCTTCACCATACAGTATAGGTCGGTTTAGGTTTATGCCTTTAATTGTTTGGTTTTGAGTCAGGACTGTAGCAAATGCGATCACACTTTGCATTCCCTAAAAACAGGAAATTCATTAAGGAAACTGACAAAATATATAAATTAACATTCCTAAATAAATATTTCAAAACTAGTAATCTGGAAACCAACAAATCAACATTGTGTTTTTAAAAAGTTTAAGCATTTCCTGCCATTTGAATTGTAATTGATCAAATCCAGAAATGAATTGTTATTGTGTTCTTTTCCCCCTGCCTTAATATCTGTGTACAACATGCATAGGGAGTTTCTTAAAGTTTCAGTATCTATTTCCTAGGGTGTTTGCCTTTAGGTTTGCTCCTAAGCCCTCAACGTTCCATAACAGTGCAGACCTCAGATATACAGTCACACATCTGGATCCCAACTAGGACTTTATTCTACTGAGAAAACTTATCCTTGAGCCAGCATTCCTTTATATTCATACTCATACATTTAGTATGTATCACGGGAAAGGGTTACTAATCACATTTCTCACAGCTTCCACAGGATTCCCTCTCTACCTATTGGAAGGGCCCGATCCTCCCCAACCTCAGTGATGGGCACCACCACATATACCCAAGCTGTTATCCCAGAAACTTGTGCCTTCTCTCTCTCCACAAGTCCTCTTACCCTCCCATACAGTTGATCGGTAATTCTTATAGATTCCGCCTCCAAAAGATGTCTCAAATTAGTCCCATTTCTATGCCCACCACCCCACCCAGTCTTCATCACCCACGAAGACTGCTACAGTAACTTCCTAAGTAGTCAGTGGGATTCCTCTTGCCTCTCTCATTCTCCACAGAGAAACCAGAATGATCTTTTAAAAGCACCAATCAGATCATGTCACCCCTCAACTTAAGGCCTTTCCATTATATGCATTTATAACAAAATCCCTCTTCCCCTGGCCCATGACACACACCCACACCCCACACCACCTTGCTGGATCTTGCCTCTTCAAACCTCTCCGCCTTCACTGTGAGGCACTTTTAACTCCCTCTGGCCAGCCACTCTGGCTTTTCAATTCTTAAAACCCGCCAGATTTGATATTTCATTATTCATGTACCTCCCTCATGATTTTTGCCATATCTGAATATCAGTTTTACTATTTATCTAATACTTTTCCATTTAATCAACTCACTTTTTTATTTTAAAACTTTATATCACTGCCATAAATGGAAAATCATAATCCCTTGAAATAATTAGCATCTGCAAAATATATATATTAGTATAAAAATTACTTCAATCTGTATCAGTAATGGTATCGATACCACACTTGGAGAAGCACTATCTTAGAGTCTATGTAAACTGGACCCCTTGCCTGGAATGTTCTGCTGCGGACTCTCCTTCATGACTCCTAAATATTATTTCCCTAGGTCTTAGGCAACTATCTTATCATGCAAATTACCTTCTCCCCATTATCAGAGTACTTGGCCATCTTCATAGCACTTTTCTCTATTTGTTTATTGACTATTTTCCTAACTAAATTCAAGCTTTATAAGGGCAGAGACCATATTCAACATACTCCGAGATTCTAAGGAGAATCTAGGATTGTGACTGGTATGTGTAGATAATATACATTCCCAGAACTATTCTGGCTGTATCTACTACTTTTTTAAGCCTTAAAACCTATTACCCCGCAAAAAATCCCCTGGCTCATCTTATTGTTTACATGTACCAGTGATTTTGCATTCATCTGTACAACAGGTTCCCAAATGGCCTCATGGTTTAAAAGCATGTTTGAGAAAATGAAGCCTGGAATTTGAAGATATGCAAAAAAACCCCACATTTCTCACTATCAGGCCAGATGAAAGCCCAGAGCAGCTTTTTGCGTCATCATTTTAAATTTTTATACTACATTTACTCCAAAATGTTTTCAAAAGTAAAACATTTATATTATACTAATGAAGTAGTATTTGTTTAACTAAAATGAACACAATCTTTTTCTTTTAAAATCCCATATGGGTTAAGAAGGGTTACAGATGGATAGAAGATTTTTATTATACTGGGTATTCTATAGTATTACTTACCACAATCTGATTTTATTAACTGTAAGTACTGTTATGCCTAGGTTAAAAATTTTTTTTCCTCTGACATTAGACATGAGGGGCAAGTGTAATCATTCGTAAAACTGTCATTAACAACTGGTCTCTAACAATTCTCTATGCTGGTCTCCAAGGAGAATGATGAAACATCTGGGTGATTGTCTCATAACCAATTTACTCACCAGATCACAATCACCCAGATCTAGCTTCTCTAAGGATGAATTAATTTGTAGCATTGTAGCAAAAAACATCCCACCCTTATTTTCAATCTTGTTTCCAGTCATTCTTAGATATTTCAGAGTTGTATTCTTCTGAAAAGGAAAAGAATCAAAATTTGGTTAAGTTTTTAATCCACAGAATTTTCTTTAGATTACATGAATTAGGAAACTAAACTATCTGCAGACTCATCAATTTTTCATGGAGGTAGAATAGGATATATATTCCTTGAAGGCAACATTCAATTTACCATAAGTATCTAGTTTAATAGTCTAGTAGAAAGAATGCCCAGGAAACAAATGCCCAAACAATGACCAGTAAATGAAACAGATTTTTAATAAACTTTCCTTTCATTAGAAAATCTATAAATTTATCTTCTAAGAAAATTATACCATTTTTTTTTTATTGAGGTGAAATTCACATAACATGAAATTAACCATTTTAAAGTGTGCAGTTTACTGGCTTTTAGTATATTCACAATGTTGTGCAGCCATCATCTTTAGTTCTAGAACATTTTCATCACCCCAAAGGCGACCCTGTACCCGTTAACCAATCATTTCACATTTCCCATGTTACTTTTAAGGAGGTATTTCTCAGACATTTTAATTCCTTCTCTTATTCCACTCTTTGAATAAATCTTTTACAAAGAAAATTACAGACATTTCATTGTCCTAATGAATAAATATGAGGACATGTAAGGTCAAATAATTATCTTTAAAGCTAATTCAAACTCCCTTAAGAGCAGAAAGAAGGTAAGGATGTCCACTAACCACTACTATTCAACATTGTACTGGCGGTTCTAGACAGGGCAATTAGGCAAGAAAAAGAAACCAAAAAAAAATGGCATCCAGATTGGAAAAGAAGTAAAACTATCTCTGTTTGCATATGACACAATCTTTTATGTGACAAATCCTAAAAAATCCACCAAAAAAAAAAAAAGCTGTTAAAAATAATAAGTGAGGTCAGCAAGACTGCAGGACACAAGATTAACATATAAAGATCAATTATATTTCTATACACTAGCAATAAACCCAAAAATGAAATTAAGAAAATTCCATTTATAATAGCATCAAAAAGAATTAAAAAAAAATTTTTTAAAAGGCAATACTTGTACATTGAAAACTACAAAGTATCATTGAAAGAAAGAAGACCTAAATACATGGAAACACATCCCATGTTCATGAATCAGAAGACAATATCATTAAGACGGCAATACTTGTAAATTGATCTAAGGATTTAAAGCAATTCCTCTCACAATCCCAGCTGCTTTGTCAAAAAGACAACATGCTGATATAGATGGGGAGAAACTGAAACACTCATATTGGTTAAAATGTAAAAAGGGACAGCGACTTTGGAAAATACTTTGGCAGTTCCTTAAAATATTAAAAAGAGTTACCAAATGATCTAGCTATTCCACTCCTACATATATGCCCTAGGAAATTAAAAACATGCACACAAAAATGTGTGCAAATATTCATAGCAGCATTATTCATTAGAGACAAAAAGTAGAAACCCAAATGTCCATTAACGGATGAACAAAATGTGATATACCCATACAATCATTATTCCATTTATATGAAATGTCTAGAATAAGCACTCTATAAATGGAAAGCAGGTTAGTGACTGGGGAGTGGGGGAGAGAAGCATGGAGAGGGTTTGCTAATAGGTACAGGACTTTTCTTCAAGATGAAAATGTTCTAAAAGCAGCGATAGTGGTGATGGTTGCGTAACTCTTTGACTATACTAAAAAAACCACTGAACACTTTAAAAGGGTAAATTTTATGTATGTGGATTATATCTTTTTTTTTTAATTTCCCCCTTTCCCCCACTGCCCGCCCCCGCCCCCGCCACTTCCACCCCTGACCTAGGGTTGTTGCCGTCTCCCTTTAAGAACTGGACTTCTAAAGGTGGGGCGCGTCTCCTCCCACACGCTCACGGGGCACACCTGAGGCCTGGGGCACACCTGGGGCCTGTACCCAGGACCTTCTACGTGTAAAGCAGACGTGCTAACCACTACTCTATGGAACCAATCCTGAATTATATCTTAATAAAACTTTATTTTAAAAATAAGTTTAAAAATGCTCATGTCATGTCCACATTTTAATAAATTGAAGTATAATAAAAATATACATTCCCACAATATTAAAATATAAGCTCACATTAACCTTTGATTCTGTTGATTCCAAGCTATCAGAAGTTAAAATTCCCAAATACAATGTTAGTTTGAGGTATTATAAATACTTACATGTAGTACTTTAGCAATCAATTCTCCACCTTCAGGCCCAATATCATTAAACATAAGGTTTAAGTAAATGAGACTATATTGTTTCTATAACAAGAGAAAAGAAGCTATTACACATGTATTATTAGAAATCGATCAACTAACATTTGAGCTGCTTTAAGTAAAAATGTTTACCTCCAAAAAAAAAACCTTTATAAACCAGAAAATCTAAAAGTCTAGCAAAAGAAACTACCACTAGAGAAAAAAATTGCTATTCTCATTAAACAAATATAATTGCAATATAAACAAAAGAAAAAAACTATCTTCAGTTTTGACCAATGACTCAAAGTATGGATGTGCTTTATGTATTTAATGGTAGTATACAAGTCTGTAAAAGATGACTCAGTAGTTCTAGTTACCAGCTCTACTGAGACAGATGCACAAATGAGTTTTCAGTATATTTCAAGTGTTATAAACATAGCATAGTCAGGACCCTTGACATTTTGCAAAACTAATGTTTTGTATGTGTGACATTAGGTGGTTTCACTGTCAACAGAACTAACGACATTTTGATAACGATGATTTCTGCAGCATTTTTATTTCTGCTTACTGAGAAAAACATGGTTACTTCATTTTTTATCTTCATTCTGCCCTTACATTGTGCACCATTTCATAAATATGAGAATTTTAAGATCATCTTAAGCTAATTAGTGGCACTTTTAGCAGATGAGACTGGGACAAGTAGGAAATTAAAAAGCCAGTATAAGGGAGAAATTTTAAAAATGATATATGCTGCTTTAAACATTTTAACTTAAAATACACACGAACATATATTGGCCCTTCTTCTGAGGATGAAACGAGGTCTTTAAGTACACAAAATAAGATGGACCACACTGTCTTTTTCAAATAAAATGCAATCAAAATGAAGCATTTCAGCTAGGGTGTCCCCAAAGTGAATCTGCAATAAAGAGTTGGCTCAGCATGCTCAAACCCTCAGCATCCCCAAAGAAAGGACTGGTTCTTAACTGGGTCCTGGGAGGAAAAAAAAAACCTATAAAACATTTCGTAGTAAAATAGTACCTGAAGCAGTTTTGCAGCATAGTATGCACCAACATCACCTAGGAAGTTATATCTAACATCCAAACCTAAAGAACACAGACAAATAGAAGCTGATATTCTTTATGATGCATACTTAAAATCAGGAAAATGAAAGAAGGAGTAATGATTTTTAAGAACACATACCATTAATATATGGATTCTTCTCTAAAACTCTGGAAAGAATCCAAAAATCTTCTCCTGTTACTCTTTCCACTGGTATTAAGTGATTGTTGCCAGCAATGTTTAATGTGATTCCTTCCAATCTATTAAAATATAAATAAGAAACTCAGTAAAGAAATAAAAGTAATTTTTTCTTCATGTATAAATAGTAACATTATGGATAGCATTTACCGGAACCAATTATGTACCACAATATAGATTTAAACCGAGTAACTTAAAACTACTGAATATTCCAGATTTTGTAAAGTACTTTAATATAGGCTGTATAATCTAATTTCTCACATACAAAAAATATCCCCACCTGATAGATAATGATACTGAAGACATCAAAGATTTGTATAAATAAACAGGAGTTAAGGACAAATCTGGAGTCCAGACTTGGAGGCTGCTGGTCTAGTGCTCTTCCCAGTATACTAAAAGTACCACTACTTCCAAGACCTACTAACAGTGTCAATTATCTACTTCTCCGAATCAAAACGTATGTCTATTTTACCAAGCATTTGCAAACGGTGTTGAAATCACTTAGTATTCCAAGATTTTCACACAGATGAATATCAACGCATATTACTTATATAATCAAGTATTTGCCTTCCTTACCCCTTTTCAATTTCTTCATCTACTTCTTGGAGTATATGCAATACAAAAGGATTAATTTTCTGGGACTTTTCCATACATAGATTCTCATAATGTTTCTGGAGACTGCCAATAGGTTCTGGAGCTTTTGAAAAATAAATACATTACCATTATCCTTCATCACATATAAATTATCCCAGGTGCTTCCCCCCATCCCCTCCCAAAATTACACTTCTTTCAAAGGTATGAATGTATGTGTATAGAGTCAAAGGTAGGGAAGAAAAGGAGACAGAATTAAAAACAAAGAGAGAAACAGAAGTAAGGAATGGGAGAGAATAAAAATTCTGTTGGAGAATTAGAGCCATAGAAGCACCCACTGAGGGTAGGCAGACACTAACTTGGAAGTGACATAAAAGGACAACTGACCTCCATAACAGGACTGGTAGCTAAGGAAAATGATGTCAGAGAAATTAAAATATTTTGTCCAAACTTATGCAGTTAATAAGGGCAGAGTACAGAATCAAAATGACTCCAAAGCTTCTTTCCACTCTGTCTCGTCGGGTTAAGCTGACTCAAGGTTTCTTATGATGGCTTCAAATAAAGATGTCCTTTCCTAGTGGATTCTGCACTATATGAACTAAAGCATTTGCTAAACAAATTTGCAAAACAAGATCTTAAGATGAAGAACAGTTATATAAAAAATGAAAGCAAATAAACTTTTCTTAGTTTTTTAAAATAAGCTTTAAAAATAATTTAATAACACACTTATTCCAGAGAACTTGGAAATTTCAATATTAAAAAGAAAAACATTCATCAGCAATCTCACTGCCAAAAAACCACCACAGTGGAGGTCTGGGAATACTTCTTATTGTTTTTCTTTCATATGTATTCTTAAACAAAATTTGAACATTTCAACAGAGTTCTATATCCTTTTTGTTTTCAATTAACATATTGTAAGCAGTTTTCTCTAGTCATTACAGTCTAAAAAATTTTAATGTCAGTATAATCTGTCTTGTAAATGGATGTACATAAAAAATCCTTCGCTTATTTTAGGAAATTTTCATGCATTTAAATAATATTTTAGCACAATATTTCCCAATCTTCTATGAAGTGATCAAAGATATTCTAAATAAAATGGGTTTTACTGTCAGATAAGTTTGAGAAGTGATGAATTAAGCAAAACTAAACAGACCCCTACCTACAACACTTCTCAGGACATTTAAAACTCTCGGGTGCACAAAGACTCTTCAAATTGTTGAGCCTAGAGGGGAGGATAATAATGCTCTACTTCCCAGACATATGTAACCATGGTTCATATGGACTGCAGTCTAGAAAATGCAACTTTAGCCTCCTGGACAGGAAACAAGGCAAGTAGATCTGCAAACAGATTTACTTGTTGGAGCTGGGCTCCCACCAGGCTTCTTCGCTCCCTTCTGGGTTACTACCTTCCTTGGTATTAAAAATTGGAGGATTGCCCTGAGGATGTGAGGTTCAATGCCTGCCCTCAGCTGGCTGCACCACACCCAGGCCATGAAGAAATGTATCAGACTTACAATTGACGTTTTCGTGACTGAAGGAATCTTAAATTACAAGAATATTTCTTTAATTACCTCGCCATGGCTTTACAGTATTTAAAAGTCTCTGCTATATATTTCCATTATTTGCTCTTTTAAAATTCACCTATATACTGTTTCAGGATTTTATGGTACCAATAATTTGTTTCCTCTAGAAGAAAAATAATAAATCAGTCTTCAAACTGTAAAGCAAAAACTAGGAAAAACACAGATATGTAGGAACATGTCAAGAATCTAACCCAAATTTCACTTTTCACCCACGTCTGAGCCTTGAATTCCAAGTAATTTTCACCTAGCAGCACGTTTTATAATTTCTAGAGTAAGGGTTCATTTTGCAGGTGGTTCCCTATGTCGTCCTAAACTGGAACAGCCAAGTACTGACTGGGAAATCCAAGGGTCAAGAGCGAGTCAGACTTGGGTGCCCATCCAGAATAGGCTGTGTGACTGTGAACAAGTTACTTAAATTTTCAGAGCTTAAATTTCCTTTTTATGTTAAAGTCAGAGCCTAACAATGCCCATCTCACCGGTGCAGTGGGCAGACGCAAGGCTTGTAGCACAGTTCCATATCTACAAGCACATGCTTTAAAACAAACATTCAGAATGGAAACGGGTGGAGGGAGAAGGGCGTGCAGTTGTGCTTACTTTGCTACAAATACTTAAAATGGATGTGGCCTAAAGATGCAAAGTCAGAACTCTCTCAAGACCCTCTTGCCCACCTAGGCCCGGCTCTCTGGAGTTTCCACAAAAAGGGCCCCGAGAAGACCACCCAAGCACCCTTCCGGGAGATGGTCAGAGCAAAGCGAAAGATACACGTTCCTTCAGGACAACCTATTGAACGAAAGAAGGACACTCCACGGGGCCTTGGGGGCTCTCCTGCCCGTGTTTGGGAGGCACCCTATAGTTCCAGTCACAGCTGGGGTTCCTAGGACACCCTCCAGCCCCGCCTCCCTGGGCCTGCTCGGAGGAATCAGATAGCGCAACCCCGCCGCTCTGGCCCCAGCACCCCTTCAGCGTTTCTTTCAGGCCAGGCCGGCGCCGAAGGACACCCTATCTCTTACCGCTATTGTCGGCCGGAGCCCAGACCGAAGCGGGGCTCGGAGTGGCGGCGGGAGGGGGGTACCCGGACTTGGCCGGAATGGCACCTTCGGAACTGCCCCACATGATTCTCAAACCCCGCGGGCCGAGCGGCGGCGTTGTCATGACAACCGTGCGCATGCGCCTGTTCCGTCCCCGGCGTACTGCGCTGGGGCGCAGACGGACCGCGGGACGCTGAGCACTGCATCCAGCTGGCTGCGGGATCCCTTGCCATTACTGACATCGGCCATGAGGCTTGACTGGGCAGGTGGTAACTGCGTATGCTATGGAGGCTCTTTAGTTACCATCGCTGGGTCCAGATCACCCCGTCCAGGGTTAAAGACACGCTGAGGGTGGGCGCCCGGATTTTTTGCAGGTAGTTTTCCAGGGTTAGGGGCACTGCTGTTGGGCGGGGGCTGGGACTTCAAAAACGATTATGACACAATTCCCTCCCGAAAAGTGTGCACACACCTGTGGGAGCCACGTGCAGAAGCAGATGGTAGCACCCACATGGATAGCTAAGGGAGCATAAAGAGGCGTGGAGATCAGTCTTGTGCAGGGGCTGGGGCCATCATAGAGGGCTTTTTGAAGGAGGTAACATCCTAAACTGGTCTGAGTAAACCTGCCAGAGGGCAGAATTACTTGGTGCGTTCTGGAGACACACAGGTACTTGGGGCTCCCAGGTGAGTACAGAGAGTGGGGGGACAGGCAGGGCCAGATCCACGTGGAGCCCTGTACAACCTCTGAGAAGCACAGCTGTTATAGGTAGGGCACTGGGAGCCCTCAGATCGGGCGCAGCTGATGGAGAGTGAATTTGACACTACCTAGGGCAGATGAGGTCTGAAAGCAGCTGCAGTAGCCCAGGAGAGATAGTAAGGCCTGAGCTAAGGCTGGACTTGTGGATGAGAAGGGAACAGAACCCAGAGATAGGTATAGAGAGTAACGTGATAAGACATGGGAGGGAGAAGACAAGGAAGGTGGGAAGAAGCCTTGTTTGGGTTACTATAGACCCAAGAGAAGCATGTCAAGAGCCCTGTAGAGAGAACTCAGGAGCCAGCCAGAGACCCTCGGTGTGAAACCAGGTTGTTTATGAACACAGTTCAAAGGTAAAAACAAAATGTCGGAATTCTCTCTCTCTCATGCTACCCTACTAGGTAAGTCTAGGCCAGCAATCCACTAACAAGAAATTGTGCTAACAGTGTGTTTGCCAATTTTGTTATTATTCAAGATGGTTTTTTGCAATTCTAGGCCCATCACATTTTCATGTAAATTTTAGGAGTAGCTTGTTAACTTCAACCAAAAAAGATTTTAAGAAAAGCTTGCTGAGATTTTGAATGGGATTGCATTGAAACAATAGATTAATTTGGAGAGTATTAATACCTTAACATTGTTGGGTGTTCTAATCCATGGATATGACTTATTTCTCCATTTAAATTCTTTCTGGATTAGTTGGTAGTTACAAAATAGTCATGAGGGTGTAAAGTACAGCATAGTCAATAATATTGTAATAACTATGTATGGTGTCAGATGGGTACTAGATTTATGAGTGATCACTTCTTAAGTTATATAAATATCTAATCACTATGTTGTATACCTGAAACTAATATAATATTGTATGTCAACTAAAATTGAAAAACGAAAAATTAAATAAATAAATGAAAATTAAAAAAACGTTCTTGTTTGCAGCATTAGTTCATTTCAGTTCCCTGCAATTTCAAATTTCTTGCTTAGGGATTTAAGTCCCTCCCCCAGCCAGGCTTAGGGATCTAAGACCAGAAGAGGACAGGATATCTCTCTGCTTCTTAGTCCCTAAAGCCACTGAGTCGCCCCAGTCTAAAGGGAGACAACTTGCTAGTGGGGTGAACTGACTCTGAATTTGAAGCTCCTCCAAATTCTAATCCACTATATCCGTTCATACATGTCTGTTAAAAGTTTGGCTGATTTCTCCTTGTCCCAGAAGGCCCTTTGCCTGTGACTTTGGAAGGCTTGCCAAACTTGAAAATGCCACTAGACTCGAAAGTACCCATTGGTTTCAAATTTAACTCTCTTGGCCTTCTTTGTACTCACAACTCTGGTGGCTTTAAAAAAAAAAATACAATATTTTAAAATATTATTTTTTCCTAGTGCTTCCTTAATGTTTATGGTAAGAGCAATGATCTTTTGAGACCTTCTACATTCTACTTAGAAGTAGAATCAAGATAGGCATTTTTAAAAACTGAAATTAGGTAATCTTTTTATATATATATTAGCCAACCTATTAGGAGAAAAGGGAGTCTATATTTTAATTCTTCTCCCAGCATGAAACATAAAAACACATTTGATGTTGTGTCATAATGTCAAGCACTCAAATTAATCAACTAAATTTTAATTTTATCTCTCTTAAGGATATCATGTCTGGTGGTAGGTAAACTGATTTTTTACCTTCTTTCACGATATTTCAGATTTTGAATATTTGAATTTTCCATCAAAAGAATGTCAAATGACACCATAAAATCAGAATATTCATCTAAAATGCATCAGAAAAACGATCCACAGCAAATCTTTGATAGGACATTTTTCATTGATGCTTCTAATCAGACCTTGACTACCATTCCACTAGAGATCTTAGAATTAAGAGAATTAGAAGAAGTGCATCTGGAAAATAACCAGATCGAAGAAATCCCCCAGGATATTCAGCATTTAAAGAATGTCAAAATCCTCTATCTGAACAAGAACAAGCTGAGCGAGCTGTGCCCCGAAATGGGGAAACTGAGCAACCTGGAGGGCCTGGACCTGAGCGACAACCCCCTACTCTCCTCTTCCCTTCGGGTCCTCAGTTGCATCCGCACACTGCGCGAGCTCCGCCTCTACCACATCAACCTGAGTGAGATCCCCATCGAAATCTGTAAACTCCTTCACCATCTAGAGCTGCTCGGGCTGGCCGGAAATCACCTGAAATTTCTGCCCAAGGAAATTGTGAACCAGACCAAACTGAGGGAGATCTACCTGAAGCAAAATCAACTTGAAATTTTCCCGCCTGAGCTCTGTGTTCTCTACAACCTGGAGATCATTGACCTGGATGAGAACAAATTAACGGTCATCCCAGAAGAGATAGGGGACCTGCCGAGGCTGCAGAAGTTCTATGTGGCTCATAACAGCCTGTACTTTCTACCCGAATCGCTGTGCCAGTGTAGCAAATTGTCGGTGCTGGATTTGTCCTACAATCGCCTCCACTCCATCCCGCGCACCCTGGAGGAGCTCTCCGAGATGACGGAGCTTGGGCTGAGCGGGAACCCATTGGAGAAGGTGCCGCGCCTGCTCTGCAAGTGGACCTCGCTGCATCTACTCTACCTGCGCAACACCGGCCTGCGAGTGCTGCGGCGCTCGTTCAAGCGGCTGGTTAACCTGCGCTTCCTCGATCTCAGCCAGAACCATCTGGAAAACTGTCCGTTGCAGATATGTGCGCTGAAGAACCTGGAAATCCTGGCGTTGGATGATAATAAAATATGGCAGGTACTGATTTCCTTCCTGGCTGTCGCTGTGCTCAGATCACAGGCCTTTCCTCCCCTAAATTGGTGTGGTTCTATGTCCAAACATCAGAAAATTCAAACCAACTTTATGGGTGAAAATCCAGGTTAACAAATATATCCAACAAGGTGCTCATTTACATCATTCCCTTCCCCCCCCCCCCATAACAATCGTAATCATAAACAGTAACTAATGTTTATAATATATATGTTCCAGTCCCTGGGCAAAATGTTTTACGTGGATTATCTCATTTAATCCTCACGACTTTTCGAAGTGGGTAATATAATCCTCAATGACATATGAGGAAAACTAGGCACAGGGAACTTAACCAACTTGTGTAGGCCACACACTTCTAAGTGATGGAGCTAGGATCTCCTACCCAGAGCTGCTAGGCTCCAGGGTCTATATTCTTAACAAAGACCACCTCCTAACAGCAGATTTTCCTGACACATAAAACCTTAGGCCTTAATGTTCCATTCATGAGAAACTGCAAATACAGGTTTATCCCTAGAGACTTTCTCTCATGTGTGCAAGCTGGCATGTTCAGAAATGTTCATCGTAGCATTGTTGGTGATGATGAAGTATGGGAGACCGTCTAAATGTCAGTAGAGGAAAGAGCAAACTGTGGTACAGTTGCAAAATGGAATACTATACTATACAATAATTTAAGTGACTTGGAGCTATATGGCCAATATGGATAAATCTCAAAATTATGATGTTTATTAAAAAGTAAAACACCAAATTGCAGAACCCTATGGTGCCATTTATAAATTTTTGATCACACACACACACACACACACACACACACACAACACATGGTTTATGTATATTTAGGTCATAAACATAAAAATATGAACTGGAAAAAAATCATTAAATGCCTAATAATGGCTGCCTCTGGGAAGAGGGTGGTACTCAAGGAAATAAGGAGGACATTGTAGAGAAACTCAACTTTAATTGCAGTATTTCATTTTAGTAACAAAACATTTGGGCAGTGGGTACATATACATTTATTATATTTTAATATTTGGAAATTAAAAAGAAGAGATTTTGTTGTGGCGCGAATGATTCTGAGACCCACGGAGCCAATTGAGATTAATTATGAGCCTTTATTAGCCAGCCGGCGACTGACTCTCTACCACGCAGGGTTAGAGGAGATCAGCCCCAGGGTTTGAGAGTGAGGTAATTATAAAGCCTAGAACAAGCAAGCAGATTACAGAAGCAGAAGTTGGCCATTAGCACAATACATCACCTAGTACCACACCCTGGTTAACAAGTAAGTGGATTACAGAAGCAGACATTGGCCATCTTCATATCTTATACAAAACACTTCCTAAACCACACCCAAGCAGGTAGGACAACTTCTGGTATCTAAAGATATTTCTTCCCTGTAGCTGACTTAGCTAGTTGGCTCACTTGAAAATTTTCCACCCTTAACAATTTCTGTTAAGTAAAAGAAAACTGTAAGGAGGGAAAAAGATTTGGAAATCAACACCTATAACCAAATAGGTCTGTCTTTCCTGACCGTGGATACCAGTCTCGTGTGTTCACCATACATTACAAAAATCCTAGGCCTGAAGATATTGATTAGTTTTTAATCTTTTACTTGATTTTCAATTTCTAGAACCTTGGGGTGGGATCTTTTGTTTTCTTAATTGCCACAGAGTTTTAAAACTGCCTTCCAGGAAGTAAATGTTTTGATGGTAGCTTTAAGATTTACTTTCTACTTAGATAGCAACCAGCCTTGGAGGATTTCAGACATTCCATGAGAAGCTTTCTGCCCATCCCCCCAACTATTCCACCTATTCTACCACTGACGTAAGAAATTCTTTTTACAGTGGACAAAGTCTGTCCTTCCACATTTGGAGTGAAAGTCTCAAAATAGAAAGTGCCCTTGGGAAGAATAACACATTGACTTAATTCCTATTGAGTCATGAATACCTCATCCTTTCCTGTGAAACATTTTAAGAAATCAGGGTAGAGGGAGGGAATCACACACAGATGGCTCATTAACAGAGATAAATCTCATCCAATACCAAGTTTTATCACAAGTCAACTGCATTGAAATGTGGACGTTAAATATTATACTGAACATAAAATCTCTGTGTATCATTACCTATTATTCTTCAGTTCTTATGATAGTATTTGTTTTTTGTCTCCCCTTCTCAATTTCCTCTTATGCTAATCTCTCCTGTAACCTCCCAATGCCTTTCTCTCCTTAATGACACACATGGCCTTTAAACCAGCTCCTTATCTCTCTCCCCTCAAAGATTTACCTGATAGGTTTCTGGCTTTTGAAGACTGACTAGTAGCTTTTTCTTGCCTAGGGTAGATAGATACAAAAATAGCTGACTTTCACCTTGTATGTAAATGGATTTTATTTTTACGGTACATTTCTATTAAGGGAGAAAAACCTAATCTCAAAATGGCTTTAATTCAGTTACAGTGTCAGCAGTAATTGTCCTCACTTGGTGCTCTGTAGGTTTTCTGTATGTACAGATTTATTTCCGCTATACTTCAATATGACTCTGATGAGATTAATTATTGGATCTTGAATATCCTGCTGAGGAAACCTTTAAACATTCCATGTGCCTTGGAGAAAAAAAAAAAAAAGCTAAACCTATGAGTGAAGTAAACAGCAATAAGAGTGCAATTACTAAGTTTTAATGAAGAGGTTAGATTGAAAAATCTTTTTCCATTATTTTATACTGCACTGAACACAAATGTTTTGTGTCGAAGGGATCTACATGCCTGATGAAGAATCTTGAAATAGCCAAGGAAAGCTTAAAATATTAGTTTCTCTAGAGATTGACTTGTTCTGATTTTTAAAAAAAGTAAATAAATAAACAAAACTGTAAACATTGTACAGCATTTTTAGGAAAATGAGCCCTCACCTGCAGAATAAAAGAAAAAATGTCTTATGGAAGAGTCCAGGTGTGTGGGACTTTTGCTGATAGGTTATCCCTACAGTGAGCTTGCTTTTGACCTATTCACCAATTATTTATTTCACACTTCTGTAGAGAGGTCCTAGCGAAAATGAACTACAACCATTCTAATGAAAAGTAGAGTGACAGAT